CCAACATCTGGTAGTTCAGTTTTGAAAAGGTTATCTGTAGTTGATGTGTCAATTGCAAGCTAGACATGTCAGCTGTGTTAAGGTCTGGTCTGGTTTTTGCATTACGTCAAGGCGACAGTTGAAAATGTCTCCCAAAAAATTCGATTTGAACAACAGAGAACAACTGGTTGTTTAATCACATTTTGGTAAAATATTACTAGAAATTAAGGTCATTATAATTCTCTGGCCTGTATTTTCTAATGTGAGTAAAACCACGCATGGAAATCAGACTCAGTGAGCATGCGCAGTCGTCAAAGTCGTCTGCCTTTTATAGTACACTTTTTTGGCTAAGCATTAACCGTTATTGTACATAAATCCGATCATGAGCATCTAATGTCACGTAAAACTGTGTTGCAATAGAAAAGTGCTTAGCAAGAAGTGCTAATCAACAAAGTAAGGTATAAACATTGGTTAGCAAATCTGTCCTTCAACTTTCCATGTTTTCTTGCTTAAACTCTGCTGTTGTCTGAACAGTCACAGACAGTCAAAAAATCAATGCCTTCCCCTACCATGCCTTATACACAGGCTAGTCGCCAACAGTCAGATCATGCTTATAGCAAGCACTGTGACTAGTCAAATCCAGTCAATTGACAAAAAACAGGCAAGTGCACAGCTGGCTTATCAATCACCTCCAGTCAAATCATAGTACCATGGTTATACATAAACAGTCACAGCCAGCTAATCCTGCTTATAGTTTATGTAAAGGCAGGGAGCACTCAACCGTTAAAAACAGTCACTTGACTGGTTTTGACTGGAATGACAACTTTGCACACAATGCATGTTTGCATAGGAGGGATTTATTAATATTAGCGCCGATTAATTCTCTGTTGTAGTTTTCAGTAGAACATAAAACCGCCATTATGGTTCATGATGGTCACGTGACTGTATTTATATTTCGGATTCTCCTTAAGTTTTGGGAGTTTGACCTTTTTTTACCCTGAGTGTAAGTAAGTTCATTCATCTTTTAGACCTGGTTCACCAGCAGTAACCTCAGCATGTAATCACATCAAAAAAGCATTTCAGCGTCGATTGTGAAGGAAACAGTATTAAATTCATCTTCTACCCCAGACCCCACATCCAAGTCCGGATTAGTAAATGTCTCATGTTTCACCTTAACAACCAGACGACTCGAAAAGAAGACACAGCCGTGACGTCACCGATGCACTTTCCTTTATTGAAATTTCTCCACTTTTTTCCCAAAGAGGCAACATTACTTTGAAAGGAAATGAGATATTAGACGCTGCGGTTTTTGTGGTAGGGATTATTGTCCCTTTTTTTGGAAAGTATTTCAGGAAATTGCAACGACTGAGCAATTTTTTTTTAACTTTTTTTTTTTTGGGGGGGGGACTGTTTTTATCTGAAGTATAGCCGCTTGTTTATTGGTGATTGTTGTCTGGCATGATATACTGACTTGTTCTTCTGCAGGGTGAGTAAAAAAAAAAAACGAAACCCAAATGTCGGGTGAAGTTCTGCATGCAGCCCTTTCAAAATCTAGGATATAAAAGCCCAATTCATAAGCTTTCTTTTAGTACAAGAATCATTCAAATCACTCATGTACTTTTGAAGTTACGGAGTTTTAAACACAACCACCGTTTGAAAGTTCTGTCAACGGATCACAAAAATGTTCGGTCATAAAAAGAAAGCAAACGTGAATGTTTTCGTTTTGCTGAAAGAACGCACACTTTTTTGTGATCCGTGGTCAGAACTTTAAAACGGTGGTTGTGTTTAAATTCAGTAACCTAAAAAGTACATGAGTGATTTGAATGATTCTTGTACTAAAAGAAAGCTAATGAACTGGGATTTTCTATCGTCGATTTTGAAAGTGCTACATGCAAAACTTCACTAAAATAATAGTCCCGACATTTGGGTTTCGATTTTTTGTTACTCACCCTGTATAATAAGCTTCTCGTGGTCACGTTCAATTCAAACGACATTTCCCTTAATATTGCACAAGCATTGTCCTGCAAGCGTTGTTTATGTATTTTATTTTCACTACAAAATTTCTCTTTTTGTGACTGTTGTCATTCATTTCAGTCATTATTGCTGCTGAAACAATTGGATTTCTCAAGTAAAATGTTAATTTTTCACCGTTCTGACATCGGTCTATACAGGCAAGTAAAACTTGATCTAGTATTTGCATGCGCTATTTAACTTCAGCTTGAAACGTAGACTTTCTATCAGTCCCGATTAGTCCGAGAGAATGTGCCGATGCACGATTGTAAATGGGGAAGGGACTAGAGTTTAGTTCAGTCTATGCCATCGACACCGTCTGAAGTAATCCAATAGACTGATTACATTGTAAAGGCTAGGTACTTGACCGACATCTCCCGGTCTTGGATGTGTTCTGTACTATAATTGGATTTTCCCAAGATTGGGGATCATTTCTGTATAATGAGAAGCGAAATTGAATAATGCTTCTGCCTTGTATAATGAGATTTCGCCCTGTACTTTTTTCCAAGATTCCGGATCACAGAAATCTATACTGCATAATGCAATTCAATCGTATCTGTAATGATAATATTCCGAACATAAATAATGTTCATGATCCACGTTGAATGAAACTTCATCAAAATTCCGTTTGCTCGTAAATTTGCAGGCTGCATATTTTGTTTATCATAAAAAATATATAAAAACAACAGCTGAGATGTTTAAACTATATTTAAAAAAAAAAGTGTAGGCGAAGTGAATGCATTTTGTGCATTGAATATTTACACAAAACAACCGCAATATTTTGACATGCTAAAACATATGGTATTGTATAAATACCGCGGGTGTTAAAATTAAAATCGGTCAAATATATTAATGAAAAATGGTATTTAAAAACATTCCAAATATAAGCTGATATGCATATGCACAAATTCTGTTCATTAACAAAAATTACCGTCGGGAAAATGAATTATTTTGTTTTACCGTGTTTTTTTAAACAAGTAATACAATACGCGGTGTGAGTTCCACCCGCGTTTTGTGGTGAGCTTATTAGCATTGTTAATGACTAAGCTTGTTCGATATCCATTTATATTTAAATCACCATATCGTGAAAAAAATATCGGATATCGCGATATTATCGTGATGACGTCATTTTTCTATTCATGGAACAGTGAAAAAAAACACAAAAAAAACACAGGACCGAAGTCACGATCCACTGCCGCGAAAAAAACCCAATACGTCCTGAACAAAATCGTCAACTTTATTTGACTAGAGTCTCATTTACTTTGCCAATTTAGGTAGAAAACAAATTCCACATTCAAATATCGAAAACAAAATTACCTTGAAATGTTGGATAAAAGTGTGCAAATAGAAAACCATATCGAGGAAAGAACGAAGCACTAGCACGCAATGCATCCCCACGTGCACTCGTAGTACAGCCCATACCATTTGCAGTCAAGGGTGTGCTTCATTGAAAACAATTTACCAGTATTTCCACCTTTTCAAAATTACAAACAATATTTTTTTTAATGGAGTCCGAAATATTTCCTGGTTCAGAAAAAGTTCTTCATCGTTACAAACTAACAAAATATTTTTTTTCTAAAGATTTTTTTCCAAAAACGATGTTAACTCCAAAATGAGGGTGAAGCACCCCTTTACAAAAATTAATGGATCAGTCCAATTTCTTGTGACGCATTTTCTGTTCTGTGAACGAAATAAAAGGCACGATTTAACAGTTCGAGACACATGTAGTATGAAACTACGGACTCGTTGGTAGTATTGCGCATGCGTGGGGGCCGCACACGTGCGCATCTATATTGTTTCGGTGGAGGCGATGGACGACAGGGGGGCCGGGGGGGGGTCGGACATTGTTCTTCCGGCCGCTTTCACTGCCTAGCCAGACAAGCTGCCGAGCGGCAAACAACAAGGAGCTAGCTATCTAGTAGTTCTGGACGGCAAGTTCAAGGGGCTGTCTGGAAATGATGATGTGGTGATAATAAACAACATTTTCGACGTGTGATACAGGCAACTGGCGGAGAGTCTACTCCCGTGTTTCAGTTGGGGGAGAGGAGGGGGTTAATCATCGGACCATAGTAAAAAATAAAATCCGTGTTTTTCTCAGCGTACATGGGAATATATTCCTCCATGATTCTGTGAACGATGTTAGTGTGGTTATGATACTGCAAGACAATCCAGTGGGTCTGCGTCTGCTTATAATTCCCGGATTACTACAATTAATTTTAATAATGGACGCAATTACAAAATGCATTTCTGAAACAGTAATTTAATGCAACCAAAGATTGACAATTTCAACTTTAAAAAACAAAAGGAAATCGTTGAAATCCAGTGTCATATCCGTATAGTACTAACAAAATCAGGAAGCGATTCAAGCGAACACCAACAGGACCACCTTAGGGATCAGTGCTTTGAAATATTTATGGCCTCATCAGTTTCTTTTTTAATGGTACCCAATCAATAAATTGAAAACTTTATTTACAAATGTCTAAAACATTATAATCACAGAAGGATGTGAAATGTAATTGTTTGTTTGGACCTCTAAATATCTAACAATAAGGGCAATGAAGTTGAATATCATTTCCCCCCAAAAAATCTATATACAAGTACAAGAAAAGTAAGTGGGAGCCGACGACATGGCCGGACATAGAACATTATCAAGTTTCTATTGTTATGACCCCGGATTCTGAAAAAAAAGACCTACCGAATCGAATACTTAACAAGATGCACATGCAGCAAGATGGGACCGTGGGAGGATTATAAACAGATTTCAATGTTATCATCCGACAAGGGAATTGCGTGGTGGCTAACTTTAATACCTCGAACACTCTGCTCTGAAACATCTGCATTTACATTCACATTACGATGCGATTGATATCGATTGTATAAATTTGGTGGATCTGGCGACATCCAAAAAAGGGTTAAAATGCGGCACTATGACAGCAAGCAATATTTCCAAAATGGTTATGGGTGGGGTAGAACCATAAACTTGTGCCAAAACGTGAAGTTAATATCGGTATTCACAAGTTGCGAGCTAAGAAAACAAGCATGTTTACTTTTTCTGGCTTTAAGAGAGATCTCTGGGGGGTCACCACATTTCCTGCCGTACTGAACACTCGCTCTGACGGTGAGCTGGTTGCGCATATGCATAGGTATTTCTTGGCAAGTTTTGCCAAGAGCGGAAAGGATGATTGGTGTTCCCGCCACCAAATCAACGGACTTGTATCACCGCCGACGACTTCTACTAAAAGGTAGCGTTCGAGTTCTCTCTCTACCCTATCGCGAATTGGCATTGCTGCCAGTTCCGCTGGTGCTGGACCGATAGCAGCTTTGCCCAGGATGCTCCCCAGCGTGCGACGTTTTTTCTGTGGTGGTGGTTCGACATCTTCTGAAGTTGACGCACCGACATCGTCACGAGGAAAATGTCCGGCGGCTTCAAGGTCGGCGATTTCCTGTATTACCAGATCCTTTGTGTGCTGAAGATGCTGTTCTTTGATGGGATCCCCGCGATAACGAGGATCCAACAGTGCAGAGTTCCGCATCAATTGTTGGGTCGCGTCGCGGTCGTACTTGGCCTCCATCTTGGCCAGGACACTGCGTTTGATGGAGGCTGTCATCCCCTCCTCCTCCGGTACTTCCAGTAGCACATCGTCAGCGAGATGGCGCATCATGGGCAGAAGAGACGAGACGGTCACGTGCTTCTCGCCCGACATGATATCAGTGAAGTCCGCCAGAGGCTTGAGGGCCTTGTTGACAGCCTCCATCACGTGGATATCTTGCCATGATGGGGAGAGATGAGAATGATTCCTGTCCTCACCAAGGACGCGCCGAATAGCTGGGGCCTGCTCCAGCAGTCGCTCCATCATCTTCTGCTGTGATCCCCAGCGAGTCGCACAGTCCTGTTAGAATAAATAGATGTACATGTAAAATGATATCGGCATGTTTTGTTTCACAGTGGTTTCTCTGACCCAAAAAATAATAAAACAGTACAAGTTGTACTGTTTTATTATTTTTTTCTGTACAACGTGATAACGATGATCGTGCAGGTGTTTTGCGTGTTTTTACAAAGTGTTTTTGAAACTAAGGGGGAAAAAGACAAATTAAAGACTTCAGACTATTTCGCCTTTCTAATAACATTTTTTTTTGGCTGATTTAATTAATTATTTTAAGTTAGGCCTACAACAGCGCCAATCATATTTTTTTTTAATGTCTTATGATTTATATTGAGAAAAGAAAAAAATGTACCTTGACGAGAGAATGAGTAGGCAAGTTCAGATCCGCTTGGGCTTTCTTCAAATCACGCTTCTTGAGCCAGCTGTGGGAGAAGCAAGCTACAATGGAGTGACAAATCCCGATGGCCCGTGCAGTGTTTGGGGTGTCGTTGACGGAGTTAGTGACAGCCAAATGGAGGTTGTGGCCAAAACAGTTGAGCCACGGCCATCCGAGGTCCCTAACTGCTTTCACAATGTTCGCTCCATTGTCTGTTGTGATACATGCCAGCTTTTCAACTGGCAGGTCCCACTCCCGCAGGCCGGCCCTTAGTGCTTCATTTAGGGTCTCGGCTGTGTGGTTGTCAGGGATGAAAGCTGTCTGAAGACACCGACTTTTGAGTTCCCAGTTATCAGTTATGAAATGAACCGTTAGGCTCATAAATGGAACCATCGTATTACTAGACCACATGTCAGTGGTAGCAGAGAAAAAATCTATGCTGCGGAGCAAACTTGCCACTTCCCCTCTCACTTTGTTGTAGAGCTCTGGTATGGCCGTGTTGGAAAAATACTTGCGCCCTGGCAGCTCATATTGCCGATCGAAAGCAGCAAGCATCTTCCGAAATCCTTCCTTCTCCACTGTGTAGAAAGGCAACATTTCTTTGCCGATGAAGTGGGTGACGGAATTCGTTAGTTCTCTCCATCGGGGGCTATCTTTCGGGTATTTTTTCCCTCTGGCGAACGCCTCAGCTATGGTCGATTGAGGGCTAGGGGCCTGTGGCGTTGTCGACGGTCGTTGCCGGATCGTTGTGCTGTATTCCAGCGGATGTTTTGTTTTGAGGTGCGACATCATGTTGGTCGTATTACCATCTTTTACTGCAACTTTTTTTTTGCAAATTCTGCATGTCACCTCATTTTCTTTTTTTATTTTGCCATCATCATCCACTTCGAGCCCGAAATGGACCCAGACGGCAGATGTTACTCGCTTTTTTGAGATCAGGCGCGGTTCGTTTTCCATGTCGAAGATATAAGCTTAGCCGAAAAATGAAGATGAGAAAATCAGAAAATGTTTGTTCCCGCTGAAGTTGTACCCTTATATACGGTAGCGACCCTCTACCAAAAGCGTTGGACACTTGGACTTGGATGTAACATATTCTACCATTTTCGGTCAACAAACCTAATTGAAGTTGACTTTAAAACATACCAGCAGGCTATGCACAAAGTAGTTTATGGACTGCTAAACAATTAATCCCTTGTTAGCCTCTAACTTTATTTGGGTTTTTTTGGTTTATTAAAATTTTCTCGGAGACTCTGCAGACGCCACCTCTTCAGATCCAATCACGGAAATCAAACAATTCCGAATTCCCACATGACATAACCTCATCTAGCGATTCCAGCCCACCCTACCCTTCAGGGAAAGGCAAGAGGTTTAGTTTGAAGACCCCAGAGAGGACGAACTGATTTATTAGTTCAACTTAGCTGAAACGTGAGAGCTAAGTTAGCTCTCACGAGAGCAAACAAAAATAATTGTGAAATAACTATCGCCAAAAAAATACAACCAATGACACCGAATAATAATAAAACACGAAGTATTTATTATTTTTATTGAAATGTTATCAGCGAAGTTGCAACAAATTATATGAATAGACAGACAGTTTTACATATTAATTCTTCCCAAAACAGTCCCTGACCACATACAATTTACACATATAGGCCTATACAGTGTGCAATGCATTCCGTATTTGTAATAAACATTTAAAACAAATCGTCAGTACCTTTTAAGGACTTTAATAATAGTCTGAATACAAACGTGAACTTCAGCAATTTATTGTATGCGCATTGCGCCCTTGCTGGACCAGCGGCCAAACATGTACCATATTAAATTAATGGGTGGCCGATTATTTAATCGGCAGTACAGTGTCACTACTGCACTGGGACGGAATTCCGACACAGACCGTGTGTTGTGTGTCGTGTGTACCGCGTGCAAGACGCAATTGTCCGTGATCCAATGGTTCAATGCACTTATGCACGTCCGTTAGTCAGTTGGTTCCGCCCCTTAATAGGTAACAATATCTTGCGGTACAATGGGTAAGAGTGATTGTGTGGTTTGTGGTTTTTCGTGGGAGCGCTTTGGCGGTCACAAAAACATTCAATTGGTGACTTCAAAACATGGTTACCAAAGCGGTAATACAAAGGATACCGCGATATTTTTCGGCATATCGAATTCCACGATATGCCGATTTTTTTTTCAGAGATCGATACGATTTCCGATATGAAAAACTAATCGAATTATCGTGAAATATCGTCATACCGAACAGGCTTATTAATGACTACCCTGGATGAACGTACGCGCGCCGGCCGGCCGGCCGGCACGCGTGCACTATGCATGCCGACCTAGCTGCCTATGTATGCTTTGCAACGAGAATATTGTAATACTCTGTCCACTAACAACTACAAAATTGCGATGTTTACAAGGATACAATCTGAATTCCTTTAAAATATAGTCAGTAACAGAGTTTTATCGACATAACGAGCTGTTTATAGACAGAAATAAGTTTGTTTTTTAAAAATGCATAAATAATTTATGCAAAACCTAATTTATTTTAATGTCTGTATTTCAGGTCGAATTTTTTTTGTGTATTTTTTTTGCAGGGAAATTTTAAGGTAATAAAACCAAAATAAACTTTACAGACAAGTCAATCTATATCGGGAAAGCTAGTATATAGGCCTATTGGGATTTGTAAAAAAAAAAATTCCGAATATAATTATTAGATGAAAAAGAATATGTTTTGTAGGGGCAAAAATGCACCCTGGTTTTGGCTTTACAATCTGAGCATACAATGGTTCCCATTATAATTAAGCACATACGGGTGAAATTTTTTAATTGACGGGGAGATTTTCTGGACTGTTTCATACTAGCTGCTCGCCGTTAGGGTGTATTCACCGTATATGCATGTGACCCCTGGCTAGAATTTAACACCGAAGATACCTAGGCACTAGGCTCCCCGTATCGTGTGCATAAAACCACAGGCCTTTGTGAATTAATTTCTATACCCTCATTTCTTCTGCATACATCTTCAGGGCTCAAAGACAGAACACTCCATCATATCATTAAACCAAAAATGCCTGGTAGAAGGCATTGAACCACGTTGCCAAGCAACAACCAACCTCCCTCTACGCCATATCGTTACGAGAACAGCTGGTCAGTCACAAAGGGATAGAACAAAAGGAGATGGTGGGAGATGGTGACCATTGTTGGGTCGTGTACGTGCGGTTTGAGGCCGCGTGATGGTCCGATACACAAGGCCAGTTCAGATGACCAAGGTCACACGAGAGACAACGAGAAAGCGTGGGAATTGAAAATTGTCCTTGCCCTTTCTTTTCTGGCAAGGGTTCGGACCAGTGCTACCGTGAGACACGTGCATGTGAATCACGTGGGTCCGTGTGAAATTAATTACCGAGACGTGAAAGAACTTGTACGGTGGAAGTAATGACAATTCTGGAATCTTCTGGAATTTCATTATCGTGGTTGTTTTTTCTCCCTTTTTTAAGTGTCGTTTCATTTATTTTTTTATTGATGTCAGCAGACTTGTATTCGAGTCACCATGACTCCGGAGTACGAGTTTCCCCGAGTCCGAGTCCGAGTCACGGAAAACGAGACTCGAGTCCGAGTCACGAATCACACAAGTCTTGTGTTAGATGAGACGTGCACAATCATGAAGAAGTAACAAATTGATAAGTTAATTTCAGATCTGCAATGTACACAAAGATTTTAAACAATAACGAAGTAAACGGACAATATTGTGTGTTCGTCATCTTCTCGCCGGAATACTCTTAGTTGTACCAGCATCTACAACACAAAACTTTAACTTAAATCAGTGTTACAATATTTGCTAAAAATACTACCCCCCCCCCGCCCCCCATTCCATCTAAAATTAAAAGCAAATGCTGTATATTCCCTTTAACGGCAAAAGCATCGGGTTGACTGGAGGGCCATAAATTGATCAGATCAATAGGCCTAATTGATATCAGCCACAATTCTCTAAAATTCTCTTTAAAAAAATACATGATTGTATACAAGTCCTTTATATCTTCATGTTTGGTTTAACTCTTCATTAATATCCTCTACATGAACATGTCACAATTAAAACAGCGCAGAGGTGTAGGCCCCGCGCATATAGTCATAGTGCTTATATCACAATTCACGAACAATTTTACACTCAGATAGTTATAAGCCATGTTTGACATTGAAAACGGCAATTTGTCATTAAATCATTTTCAATGATGTTTATGGTAAGACTGATTAACTTTAGTGCATTCAGCAAGCCAAATGGCTAATCATTTTTCTGTTGCATGACTGATGTAGTATCCAAAAATCTGCGTAGGCTGTTTTGTCATAATTAATTCATAAAATCTGCACTGTCCTTTCCCCCCCATAGCTATATATCATACGTTCTCATTTATCATCATTATCCTACAGGCCAAATATTATATCGCCAAAAAAAATTGCAATGAAATTGAGTTTAATGGACGTATGGCAGAGAAGGCTATCCAACGATTACAAGTTTATTCCATTTTGACCTTTGACCGTTACGTTTGGCATGGCCGTAGATTGAACTCTTGGACTGAACACGGACTCGGCCCAATGTAATAATGCTTGAGACCAGACTATAAACCAATATATAATATTGAACTGGTCAATAACAATTGACCATCTGGTGGCTGTCAATCAAATTTAATATTCATCGACCATTAGTTTGAGATTAAAGCTTTCTTTGACATGCTGTGACCTAGAATAGACACTGAGGTTGAATCTTAGTGATTTATTATCCAAATACAATGCGACGTGCCCATTTGAACCTTAACAAATTGATTAGAACATTTCCAAACTGCAGTTAATTTGCCAAGAGTGCATGGCATGGGCGTCGCCAGGATTTTTTCTAGAGGGGGGAAAAAAATTCTTGTATTTCTCAACACATTCTCGATTTATCAGTTTAGGAGGGGGGCAGGGACATTTTGCCCCCCCCCAACTCATTTTAAATTTACACCACTTTGTCTTCGCGCCTCTTTTTCTTTTCTTTTTTTTTCTTTTTTTTTCTTCCTGTTTGTTTGTTTGTTTTTTTGCTTTTCCGGGGGGGGGGGGGGGGCAAGTGCCCCCCTTGCCCCCCCCCCCCCCTCGCGACGCCTATGGTGCATTGGCCAATTTCAAACACCAAGCGTTCTTGAAAAACTGTATCTGCTGAGCCGCCTGTGCCTCTACGATAACACAACTTTCAAAATTTCCTCATGATATTCTCGGTATACGGACTTTCCTTTCAGGCCAAGCTTTATCGGCGTTTGTGGATGGATGACTGATAGGGAAAGCTGTGGGGAACACTGCGGCGCGACAACATGTGTGGGCGCGATAAAATCGGGACAACGACGTGTGATTTAAAACTGCTTACGAATTAAGGAAGTGGTGAACGTTTACTTTGTTTGTTGCACATAAATGTGAAGAGCACGTTTACTTCCTTAAACCGAAACTCGGTTCACGCGAAACAGAAAACAATATCCGCATGTACACCTGGGATTTTTCGAAGAAATAAAAACATGAATTTCAGGCCAAGTTGTAAAGTCATTGCTTGGCAGTTTGCCAGCGAGATGTGTCTGTTCTAATTTCAACCGAGCACAATATTCCCATTGATAGTTGTGGGCAGACGTTCAACTCAAGAAAGTGTGCGGCGGATTAAGCAATCAATATCCCCATGGCAACAGCTCGTTAGAAATTCCATCTTTTGTGTCTAGAAGAGCTACTCGCCACAGTAGCATTTCCTCAGGCAACGTGAAGACGCACATTCTCTTTGTTGTTCTTTTTTTTACCTGGTACCTAGATACGCTGTCGAGATTTGAACCAATCAGAAGAGCGTATTATTTGGGGGATGTTCACCAACCAATCAGAGAACTTCTTGATAGAACAGGTGGCACGCGACTTGGCGCGTGCCAGGTGATTGTGAGCGACAAAGGTCGCATACTTTCATATATAGGCTTCTATTGTTGTGCTGATAATGAGGTTGTTTACAAAGAGACAGCTTCGTGGGTTTGGCATTCATAAACAAAATGTCAAACAACCCAGTTGAGGCTTGCAAAGTAGGTTTAAGCATTTGTACCCGGATATTTAGTGGCCTTTTTTCCCCGAAGAGGTATGGTGTAAGATAAAGAACAAAGCTGCACAACTTGTTTTATCCGTGTCAATGCTTTTGCACCGAGAGAAATCTAATGTTCTGCGGAAACAAGGTCTGATATACCGGGAAAATATTGTTGGATGACAGTTTGGGAAGTGTTTGCATAAATTTGGTTGATATTTGAACAGCTGTTTCACCTGGTCTGTACCATTCAGGATATGTACGTGTCATTGTCGAGAACCCTGCGCATAGAATAGCGCAGAGCGAAGTGTCGGGTATCTAGTAGTAAACATGGCCAGGGTTAACGGTCACTTTGTTGACACGCAAGGTCGAATATTACACAATTAATGAAATCTTATCCTATTTTTAAGTTTGTGACCAGCTGTTTTTACTATACACCCACCAGTCAGCAAGCGAGCGAATCACTGGACAGTTATAAAGTCAGTGTGCGCATCTTTGTTTAATAAGTATATAAAGAATTTTAACAAATTCTCAAGATGGAGTAATCGTATGGAATTATAGTAAAGATGTCTGTATGATTCGCTTGCCAAATCTAGATCAGATTTATCATCTATGACAGCTGTCTGACCTTTTCTTAAGGCCAAGAAATAGTTCTGCTACCCTATAACCCCTACGAGGCTGCCCCTACCCTAATTGTTTTATTGAGAAAAATAATGAGGAAAACAATACCCAAAACCATCAATGTCCACCTTTTACCCTTGCCACACACAGACGCCTCCATATGATCGTACACAAATCGGCAAATTCCCCGCATACCTACCCTATTTTCGAATGCCATGTAATCGGAAGCAGAACTCTTTTTTTTTTTAGCCTAAGCATGGACAATTGAACCATGTCCTCCTCCGAGTTTATTATTTACCGGAATCAACTCCTATACATGTATTTCTTACTTCGATATATCAGATGTCGCCCTAAGCTTCGCAATGTTCTAAAATAGGAAAATAATAATAAATGAGTGCATAACCGCCCAAGTCCCCCCAAAATAGACTTTACCCAGACGACGTGTTTGACTTTATTCCATTTGTCAGACTTATTTTCTGAAACTAGTCAGATTTCGGTAAAGCAGTTGTTCATTAGCAACCCACGCAGAGATCGTATAACATCTGCCAAGAACGGACCGCACTCGCTTATTTCTGTCCGATTTCATTTTGTGTCTCGATTTTTGTTTTATGGATTGACATCGCCCACGAAGTGGTTTTTATGCAGGGTACGCCACGAGTATACAGAAAAGAATACTGCGGGTGGCATACCATGCTTTTTGAAAGTTACATTCCGAGAAGTTCCTTCGTGAAACTAGAGTAGTTTAGGTGGGTGAGTGGCCCCAGAAATTCGCGGAAACCACGCATGGAATTCAGCTTCTGTTTTGCTGTTATTTTTTTCCGGGGTTTGAGAGGGGAAGTTGTTGGTGTCAAGGAATGAACGACGTTCATTGACATCAGGAAAGCGGAGTCTACTATTTCATTATTTCGTTAGCTCAGTTTAGCCTACCAGGCATACGTACTGTTTAATTCAACTGACTATACAAGTTGCTTGCGTGTTAAAGGTCTCAAATTTAATTTATTTCATGTACCGAACTTCTCAGTGTGGCCTGTTATATATGTATGTACTGTTTAATGTCATATGTTTATAATTGCCAGCACATAATGTTAATAAAACAATTCAGTTTGGGGGTTATAGAAAGTAGGCATATAATCGTTCGAATTCTTGGTATTCCCTTTCGACGCCTGTGGCAAAAATACTGGTCGGGTGTAAAACATGCTCGGCTTTGTTCTCATAATCCAAATATGGCCAGGGTCCAAAAACGAGGGTGCCAGTTAGGGGACCCCCCACCACACATTGGCTTATCACTGAGAAACGAAACACCGGCACGCGACCCCACGTGGTTGGTAACAAGCCAACGGTGGATTGGTGGATGACCAGACAGCTGCGCGACGCGGTTCGGCGATTGGTCGGTCGAGCGCGTCGGTGGCTCCGCCCACTCGCGTGCTGGTACGTGATGCGCGTGCTCAATGTATACAGACTTGTCATTGTCTGAGTGGTTCAGGTTGAGTTGGTGTGTAGTTGACCAAGTTACTCCGTTCAGGCAACACCACATTTTTCATGTCTTGAGGATGTTCCCCGAAGAAAGAATACATCTTCAAACCGCCGATATAGCTACCATCATGGATATACTGACAAGGAATACCAAGAACATCATCGTGCGAGCTAAACATTGGTAAATATGGGGCTAAAAAGCGTCGTGGTTTGCTTGAAAAGTGTTGTCTTGGTTTGTACGGACTGGCCGGACGCTGGCCGGCAAAAATGCCCAACCCTGGGAATTTCATTGTCTGGATGACCCGTGCGTTGAGTGACCATTGAGAATACTACGTCCATTGACTGGCCTGTGCCACATAGAAGTGAATGCGTGAAAAACACTATATGTACTAACGATTGAATTCTTTATTGCAGTCGATTTGTCAAGCAACTTGGCATATTTTTGAAATCGTTCATTAAGAATAATGGACAATTATTCTGCCTTCATTTCGGAGATTGTGTCATTATGGCAATAATTCCAATTTTATATTTTGGTGGAAATTTATGTGAATATTTCATTTCATTTTACCAAGTGCATTAACTTGATAATGTGCTTTTCAAGGCGGCGGACCACCCACATTACATGATTAATATTAACTCTTTCCCCGAATTTCATTTTTCTCCTCTGTATAACATTTCACTCACCAGATGTGTCTTTCGTAATGGCGAAACTTGACACCAGTTCTGCATAACGTTATCACGCAGTGTTTTCTTTGTATTGTGTTACAGCTACTCTCGGAAGATTGTAACGAACAAGAGATGCGACTATTGCAACAAGTCTATGTTTCTCTTGGCCCTAAGGTGCAAGGATTGCAGGTAAAGACCAGAATTTCTTATTTTAGTTTTTGGAGGGGGGTGGGGCTTTTACCCCGCCCCTCGGAAAGAAAATGGCGTAACATTTCCTACAAGTCACTAACTGTACACATAATGACCACTTCCTTTGCAATCAGCTAAATCATCGGCGACCTTACCGTAATTATACAGCTCAAATTGAAGTAAAACCATTCAAAGTGCTGCATATTCATGTGAATGTTGCAAAGCTGATTTTAATTCACCCTTCTTGAGAGAAGGCTAAACCATTCGACTTCGGTCAAATTCAGTCGGTTGCCATGGGGACACATCTTTAACCTAGAAACCTCATTCTCCGTGTCAACTTGCATTCGGTGCTCTCAAACCAGTGAATTTAAAATACATGAGAGAGCTGACATGTTTCTATCAAGTTTCCTGTGGCATTGTCAAGAATTACCCTCGATTTTTTTGGTCTTCTCTCCTTTCACAAAGGTTCAAATGTCACCGAAAGTGTGCCCAGAATGCCTCGCCGCGCTGTGTTCTCAACTTACCGGGTCACAAATTTCAAGGTAAGCCAGGCACTCGATTTACGGTGAACTTTGGTCGAACTGTTCAACTGAAAAAAACACGAGATTCTCACTTCCTCATGATTGTACTTCTATATTCGTCTGGACAATATTTTGTCTGACATATTATGGTTAGCTCATTACCTTTGAAACAAATTGTATTTTGCTAACTTTTTTAATAGTGAAAATTGTCACGCACCACTTAAAATTAAAAGAGCATTTCAAATCTAAATGACATATATTTTGGGGGAAATAAAAAGATAGAGCCACATATATGAGTTGGTTTTTAAAATTAAATTTTCCCCTTATTGGTTGTTGAAATTATGTTTGGTATTCCGTTTATTATCCACTTCCTAGTTGCCTTGGTAACAGTGCTGGCATCATGGTAATTCATTCTTCCCTAACAACATTATGATGAACAGTTTTTGTATATATTAAATTCAATATTTCCATGTTTCCATAGCAACCACAAAGGATGTAGTTCTCCCTTCATGCCGAGGGACTTTATTCTCAATATTTGGGTTTCCACTGTTGGCCATCAATCACTGTCTCTTAATTTTAAGAGATGGGCGATCAAAGGTTTATTTACCCTTTCTATTAAGAACATTGTCTGAAAGGTACAGTGGGTTTTTTCCATCTGTGTTGCCATGGGAACGTAATTGTTTGATTTTATTTGTTTGGTGTAGCTTCATCGAAATCTAGGCAGCATTCGCGACCCAGGAATCGAGCCGTGCAGCTAGCGCATCAGGCAGAGCCGTCATATGAACCTATGTCCACTTCATCCACACCGCAACATCACCGGGAGGGTTTGTCTCGTTTCCAGCAGTGCCAATGCCCCGCTGTGTGTGGACTCGATGCGGCCGATGTACGGCGCGCCAGTGACTGCGACGCGTGTAAGAGACTACAGGCCTCACCCCCGGACAGCCCGAAATACACCATGGGCGCTAGGACGCGCTACTCCCCGTTACCACCTTACCAAGATCACGCTAAAACCGCTCACTTGGAAACTGTTCCAAAAACAGAGGATCTAACAAACCAAAGCCCTGATTACCATGGCAACCAAATGACATCAACTCCCAAGCGACCCATCATTAAGACGCAGTTAGTGCAAGAAGGAACGTCTTCAAATGTGTCCTCCGTGTCTTGCGGTTATTATTCCTACACCTCGGAATGTAACTCGGAGGTTTTCCAAGCTCAGGAGGAGGACCAAGCGTGTCTGTGCAGCTCGGGTCACGGGAGGGCCACGGCGGAGCTGAGCCGAGCTGAGAGGCAACGGAAGTGGAGCCGGGGTGAAAGGTCCAAGACCGTGGATGTGACTGTGACCAGGAAACGTGATGCTGAGATGGGGAAATCTTTGATCGCTACTTGGCCGCCACACGGACATAGTCACATCAAAGCAGGTAAGATCGCTGCCATTTCCTTGTCTAAACAACAGTTTTGTGTGTTTCTAATATAGCATAATGTCCTACATTGATGTCAAACTTTAAGGCCTATATCTCGACTTTATTAAACGTTAATAAACGTTACCCAAACAACATTACCAGCAAACAGCTTGTTTATTGGAAAGTGTTTTATAGTAGAGTTGAAGTATTCTTGTTTCAGTTTAGTTTATTTATCAGGACCCTTGGAGAATTCTTAGACCGAAAGCGGGTTCTGCTTATTGAGCTATCTCCAGGGGTAGCTTCTAGACAATAACTGGGCACGATGCGTGGTCACTCATGTAAACGGTCGCAACACGCCGCGTGGTCATGAATGATGCTCCTAGACCACGCCAATTGAAAAACTTCTTTAGTCACGCCCATTGATTGACTTGTTTGTGTACATTTTCATCGAGAAAGCCGCATCTTGTACGGCACTTATCATGCAAATAAGCTTTTGCATGAACCATTTTCTTTATGCGTGATTGACAAGTCGGACTAGTCCACGCATGATCATGTAATATAACCGTTTATGGAAGAAGTGAATATAATACAGCCTATAACTTGTTATAGAAGTTCATGTTCAGTATATAAAAACTAGATTCGGCATGACAGTACAGAGTGAGTAAAAAAAAAACCACCCAAATGTCGGGACCATTTTTTTAAAAAGTGAAGTTTTGCATGTAGCACATTCAAAATTTAGGATAAAGCCCAATGCATAAGCTTTCTTTTAATACAAGAATCATTCAAATCACCGATGTACTTTTCATGTTACGGAAAATTAAACATATGACACCGTTTTGAAGTTCTCTCCACGGATCACAAAAAAAGGTGTAATCTTTCAGCAAAACGAAAACAATACTGTCAAGAGTTTCAAAACATCACAGCGGTCATTATGTCTCTTTTGCGCAGCCAATATAAGATAATAATTAACCATCCTTTATACGATCTGTTTAAACGCAAACTTTTCCTAAATCAATACCATCTCCATAAATGGATATAAAAAACTTGACTAAAATTATACAAAACCGTGGGTTTACATTCGGTGAATAGGGTGCCATTTTGTGAACAGATAAAGGTCGCCAGCTGACAGATCTAAACTGGTCGTCATGGAATTTTATGAGCAAGAAACAAATAGAATTATTTCAATCAGATAATTTTTGAAGCAAAATTCACATATTTACACACGGTATACTCGTACGTTTGGGGTGTAAGTTCACAAATAGTATCAACTAGCTCTCGTGGATATCTGAAATAGAATAATATTTCTGAACACGTAAAAGGAAAAATTACCCTTTTTAATGCAAACTATATCGTAATTTCTAATGAACGAGTAAGATTTTGTAGAAAAGTCATTAACATCGTGTATTGCAAGTGTGGCGATCGACGATAACTAGTTTAAAACCTTTAGATGACTAGTTATTTACTTGATTAAGAGTGAGTAATAACTCAAGTCATTCAACCGGGGTTATTGACTCGGTTGAAGAATAGACGTGATTCAAGATGACTTTGTGGGGTACAACACTCCAGATCGCATTCCATTACAGAAGCCGATTGAAGTGATAAGTTAGGCCGTGTTTTGTGACTCAGTGTGAATGGCGAATTCTCGGTACCCCAGGCACTGGCTCGTTATACAGTGACTCATAGCCAGTCTAACTGACCGGTCAAAATGTACGCATGGCCACGTACGCGTACTACAGATCAAACTTTTTTGGATCAAGGCAAGGCGAGGAGGGGTGAGCGGGGCATGGGTGCATTCTCTCCCTACATTTCTCTCCTTAACAAACCCAATTCTTCTGACACTCATTGCAACATGACAACAAAAATTGACTAGAAAAAGACTATCTATTTGAATGAGCTCATACTGGCGCCATTTTCACGATATTAAAATAGTGGTTAACATTACATAGGGCCTAAAGGCATTTTTCAAACTAATGGGATGTAAACATGAGAATGGCCATGAGGATTGTACAGACATTTTATCGATTAATGCATCGATTTCATGACGAATGTTACTCGTTTACATGTATGCATAGGGTCTACCCGATGTTCCCTAATAATTTCCCCCCAAATTCTAGTGGGTTAGGGTTGGGGAACCGTAGGTATTAGGGAACATAGGTATTAGGGAACATAGGTATTGAGGAACATAGGTATGCACCCGTATGCATGCACCCGTATGTATGCAGTGTGTATATTCACAAGTTATATCGTCAACGCTGCGTGTTTCACGTACAAATTCATATTTTTTCAATGAACAGCTGTTTTATAATTTGACATTTGTTCGGCTATAAACGTCAACGACTATTTCAATACAAACCCAAAGATATATAGGCCTATCATTTTCAGGCGTTTAAAAATACATTATGCATTATTCACATCGATAACAAGTCTAGGCGTTAGCTATTTAAGTTCTGCTGTTTCGTTTGTTTCTAATTCAATCATTTTTATCAGTGTTCGGGCCGTATCTGTCACTAATCTCTCTGTTTGATATAGTATGACGACAGTTCGGCACCATTTTTCTATGCACAGCCTACCCGCATATTTTGGTTTTAATGCCATACTTGTCTAGCGTCATATACGCACGGAGTTGGGGCTATATTTAGCTGCCGTGACGTCTGTCGGCGGCCTGGTAGTTGGCACGGATCAATAAATGGTTTTGGCGCAACTTGTGGAGCTTTCTCACGAGTGGGGTTCAGACATTGAACACGCAATTGACTTGTTCAAAAAAAGGAAAGAAAATGTTGAGAAATAAAGAAAAGTACATGCATTTATGACGATTTATTCATGCATACATCTCGAGAAGTCACTTTATAAAATTCGATCCCCTTGCTTTTCAAAACTGAAATCGATTTTCTTTCCAACGAATTATTTATTGAAAAACACAAAATATATTTCACTTTTAGGAATTCGGTTGCGGTTTGCGCCTCTAACTAAAAGAAGATCCGCAAATTGTTGGAACAGTATGATTTTTTGTTTCAATGTGTAAATCCAAAGTGAGTAGGCCTAGGCCTATATGTCTCCAGAAAAAAAAAACATTTAAAAAATCTTTTTTTTTTCAGAATTAAACTCAAAAATAGCATGGGGGTAGCATCTGTGACCTTGCTTACAATTTTATTTCTTTTGCTACATTCCTTCCAAATTTTCAAATCAATTTTGTTTTGTATTGACCAGATGCAGTACCCGAGTCAATAGATGACGCCCATCGAATGTGCGATTCACTTGCTGCATCGAGACACGCAGGGTAAGTTACCATAGTAACCAAACTGAAGAAGATCCAACATTTTCTAAATTTTAACATCACTTGTCTATTAAAGGTCGAGACTATGGAGTAATTTATTCCAAGTCGCAAACTGAAAGAGTAAAACCAGGCATTATATTCAAACAGTCGGTTTTATTGAAAGAGAGAAATATCCAAACGTTGGCGTTCTTGTTTATTTACACGTGGGCGATTTTATTTTTATCATCTTTATAATCATTTTTGTCTGATAATCAGATGCGGCTTCCAGGTTTATCTTTGGATTAATATTAAACTGAGAGGTCAAAATAAATAGAACCCATTTTTTTGCAGCAAAACAAATTTAATGGTATTTTCCATTACTTTTTTCCCCGAACGAGTGAACAAAGGCTTTATCTTATGATATAAAAGAAAAACATTAGAAACTGTTTCATTATTTCTTGTAATGAAACCAAGGATTCCTCAAAAGCGCCCCAGGCACTGTAGCTCGCAAGCCTGAAGAAACCTGCAGAGAGGACACAATGAGAAGAAATTACAGTTTTAGAGGTGGGAGGAAAACCCCAGAAGAATATTCTGGGGAAAACCCATGGAATCAAGTAGGGACTGAAAACCCAATCCACACGTTAGCCCAGGTGGGATTCGAACCTAGGTCAAAGCGGTGGAAGGCGAGGAAAGTACGGCTATGCTTCGCCGACTTGATTCAACAGACATGGGAAATAGCATCTGCAGTATTTTTTTTTAATTGGAAAGACATGTTTTATTGTTTTCCCTCAAAACACTACATGTTGTACATGGCGTGGAAATTTAGCTTTTCGTTCCAAACTATCATATTTCTGAAACGACGCTAATTCAATTTGCCCATTTGTTCCGCTTCAGATCACAGTGCGTCTATAATGCATGTGAATCGATGAATAAGTCAATGTCGTTGTGCTAGACGTGTGTTCTCCGATGTGTATTAATACAGTGCTGCTATTATACGCTTCTAACTCACAATTGTTTTCATCGAATTTCAAGAAATTTTACGAGAAAACAAACAGAGAAGAAGATAAAAACAAGTGGTCGTTAAGATAAAATTCGCCCTTTGCACTTTTTTGATAACATAATCAAGATTTGTGTATAGGATAAAATGTACAATATACTTTTTCCCCAACTTTCACTTGGGAGGTAACACTCTGATAGGCCTTCAGTGTTTATACGTCGGTGTAAGGGCAAAACCTAATTTGATTTACAGTATAGTTAACGGCACTTTATATGATTATATTCTTTATCTTGTTAGTGTTTAAAGTCAATTGGTTTTGTAATTTCTAAAGCTGATTCAAATCAATTTATGTGTGTATTGATTTGGATGATTTCTTTGATTTTTGTTGTTGTAGTGGTGTCGATCATGATATCAGAGAGGCAGTCAAAGAATGGTCGATACCTCATGAGAATCTCAAGTATGGTATCTGTCTACGCGCCGGCCGCAACGGATCAACATACAGGTAAAGTTACTCCACAAAACTCTCACACAATCAATATTTGTGTTTGCTCATAGCAGTTTTAAATTTGTCCTTAGTTCGAAATCAGGTGCATTTTAAGACGAAGAACTGTAGGTGCTGAAAAATGGAATCATTTATTGTAATAAAAGTTTTTCTTTCGGAGATAGATTTCGCTTATTCAAAAAAAATTGTCTAAATGTTTCGTTTTTGAAGCTATTAGACTTGGACATGGTTATGGATCGTACTTTTTTTTATCCCCAATATTTCTTACAACAACTGTTTCACCTTTGTGTTTTATACAGGGTGTGTCAAAAAAAATAAAAGAAACCCAAATGTTGGGACCATTGTTTAGTGAAGTTCTGTAAGTAGCACTTTCAAAATCTATGATATGAAAGCCCAATTCATAAGCTTTCTTTTAGTACATGAATCATTCAAATCACTCATGTAATTTTCAAGGTACAGAATTTTAAACACAACCACCGTTTTAAAGTTCTGTCCTCGGATCACGAAAAGGTAAGTGTTCTTTCAGCACTAAAATGAAAACAAATCACATTTAGGGATGTGTGTGAATTGTTTTCGTTTTGCTGAAAGAACGCACGTTTTTGGTGATCCGTGGACAGAACTTGAAAATGGTGATTGTGTTTAAACTTCCGTAACTTGAAAAGTACTTGAGTGATTTGAATGATTCTTGTACTAAAAGAAAGCTTATGAATTGGGCTGTCATATCCTAGCTTTTGAAAGTACTACACGCAGAACTTTACTAAAACAATAGTCCTGACATTTGGGTTTCGTTTTTTACTCACCCTGTACAGAATAACGTGTAGCTCATTATAGAAATCAATGATAACAGACAGCTCAACCGACAGACGAACAGACGGACATCATTGTCTTATTTGCCTACTTTCATAATTCTCATCAATAATTTGTCTTGCTTCCTTCAGGGGTAACTGGCACGGGGAGGTCTTGATCCACACAAGACTTCACGTGGAGGATGTAGATGCGTTCCTTGAGGAGGTATCCGTTTTGAGTATGATCAGACATGAGAACATCGCACTGTTCATGGGAGCATGTATCGACCCACCAAACTTAGCCATCGTCACATGGTTAGTTACAATTACAATATGGGCTGTTCATCTTCTCAGCATTAACTTGGAATTGTAAATGCTTAAAAAAGTGCGCTTTTCAATATAATTAACTAAAAAGGGATGTCAAATCGTTTTATTTTTAAGAGGAGTAGAAAGTTGCACAAAATGTGTGCCCCAGTAAGTTTCATGTCATGGACCCTTTAACTTTTAAGATATCGTTGCAAGGTGGTTCAAAATTAACTCTGTAATCTGTGACTCTGTTTATCTCCTCCTTTTCTATTTAACCCCGCCCAGTATCCAGAAAGGCCCTCCTTCTTCAACACAAACTCATAACAGGAATCTAATTATTACTTACAGGATACTATAAGATATAGTTTCAAACATTGCTCACAATCATTTTTGAATGCTCTGTAATCTGTGACTCTATGTAACTCCTCCTTTTTCTGTTTGACCCCGCCCAGTGTCCAGAAAGGCCCCTCCCTCTTCCAGCACATACACCTGAAGCAGAGCAAGTCCCCGATGCACTCACGGATCCACATCGCCCGGCAGATTGCCCAGGGGATGGGCTACCTACACGCTAGGGGAATCGTGGTCGGGGATCTCAACACGAAGGCGATCTTCCTGGAGTCCAAGGTCAAGCTGTGCCTGACAGGCTACGATACGACTGACGGCATGTGTGATAGGTAGGTCAGAGATCATCATGGCGTCACTAGAGATTGGACATCAAATCATTCTGTAAAATGAAAATTAAGTCAAATCGTCAAAGTAGACCACGAAGGGAAACCTGACTACATTTGAACAATCAGTTTATTCTGCGTACGAACTTAATTGTAATTTATTCATGATGATCTTGTACTTTCATCCAATTAGAGAGGACTATGCCTCGGTACCCCAGGGTCACCTGACCTACATAGCTCCTGAAATCCTACGAAGCATCCGGGTGCAACCACCGTACGTCATTGAGGCAGAACCGCACACCATGGAGTCCGATGTGTATGCCTTTGGGTAAGCATGAAAAAAATAATACTCTCGATCATTTGAATAAGCTTGTAAAGATTTCTTGCCGTAAACTCCTGTGGTTAAAAAAAAATCATCCGATTTTAGATAAAGTTTTAGGAACTTTGTTTGAGGATGTATGTACTTTTTCAGGTAGTGGAAAGTTAAACTACATGCATAAGGAAGTTTATAAATAATCATTGTTACATTAAAGTTTTCGTATTCTTTTCTGTAACCAATATTTTTGGGGTTTGTTTTACAGAACTGTGCTGTACGAGCTGTTGACTTCCCAGTGGCCGTTTGCCAGCACCTTCGCTTGTACGGACAGTGTTATATACCGTGTGTGCAATGGGAAAAGAGCATCATTGGCTGGTGTCAAATGCGTCCCCTCTGTGAAGGTAACAGCCAAAATCATGAAATTTCATAACTGGTATTGAAGTATGCGAAATGAGACTTTTCTATAGTGTTTTAGCAACTTTAAGCAAAAAATAATGGATTTTTATTCTTACAGCGAACTCCTGGGTTTACTTTTCATTATTGAATACAACAACTTTGGGTTTGTACTTCACAAGTACAGAAATTGTCCATGTTTTTAATAATTTGTTATTTTTTTCCTTCAGTGTTTAGTTGAGGAGTGCTGGTCACATGTTCCGAACGTGCGCCCGACCTTTCAAGAAATCGTTGAAGAACTCAATCAGCATGTAAGTGTTGTTTGTTAATATGACTACAAATTATGTTTGACTTCAATATTTTCAGTGAATTGTCATGTATCTTTTCTCTAGAAATATTACACTATTCAGTTAACCTGGCATGGTATTTAGTGATGGTGTAATGAACATTATTTAGCCGTGCATGCATATAAGCTAGATGTTTTTAATTCATTCATCACATAGATTATATTCACATAAGCGCCCTCCATTGAACACCGTGCGCCGAAATAAACGACCTTCAAAATATTTAAACATTTAAACACCATATTTTACCTGCACAAAATTCAAACGAATGCGAAATAAGTTCGTCTGCACTGTTAGTTTCTGGTTTATCGTTTGAGGTCGATAGATCTTGGAGATACATTTTTTGTTTATGATGTAGCGATTTCCAGGATTCTTTTTTTTTTATAAATTCCCAAATATTATTTTCGAAAAAAAATCTTTCGTCTATTGGTGGTATAGCCACAGTTTCGTTAGCTTTCTATCCTATGTGCAACTTTCGAATGATCATCGTAACTCATTATGCAAAACACAGAGGTCATCTAAGGTCACGTTATCACCAAATATAATCCTGACAAAGAACCAGTTACATGTATAAGGACAAATCTCTTTGTTCCAAAATCGATCAGATATTAATCTTTTTATTCCTATACTATTTCGATGATGTATTATTTCACTTCATAATTTTTTCCCACGCTAGGCGGCCTTGGTGAATATGAAGCACAGCCTGTCGGAACCAGACTTACTGAATCGCATCGGGAGACCTTGGTAGAGTCAGTGACCAGACCTGGATGCAAATCGGGACCTACCGTGTGAGGGCGCTCCAACTGGTCTCCAGGTGACACCAAGAATTTGCTGATTAATTATCTGCAAGATAAATTGGTGGAAGAATGAAAACTTGCCGGCCATGCAATAAGACTTGATTGGAATACAATCGCTGTACGTTCACGCGGAAGGAAAGAGAATTTGGGATGTAGGAGATTTGCAGTTTATAACACACCTGTAGTCATGGCAACAAACAATGCAACAAATCGGTGCTGGTTCACCCTGTGTATTTAAGAAATCGTTGAGAATCGCTAATCGTAAGAAAACAAAACGGCAGAGCTATGGCAAAAAAGTTAGTCTGTTTTACATGACTCATGAGACGAATCAAGTTTGAAATGTAAACACTACTTGTTTATCATTTATTTATTATGCCTAGTTATTTTTTTTCATCAAAACATGGACCTTAGTGGATAATTATTAAATAAATTTGACAATAATTTGTCAATCCGTCCACACAAAAGACAATCTCCAATCCCTAAGAAATTCTGCGTAGTTCGTGGACATCCTAGCTTCGTATCTTGCGTCACTGCCATTGTAAAAAAAAATAAACAACGAATTTAAGTTTTTTTGAAATTTAATTTCATATTCCGACTGCAGCTGGTGGTGCGTGGTTACTTAGGCAACGTGTATTCATTATTTTGGCATTATTGCTCAGTTTGACTGTGCAACGATTCGTGTTAAAAAATGAAGAAGAAAAAGATTTGTGTCCGCAAAACCGCCAATTTCGCCCAAAATAATGAAGGAGTTATCTAGGTCGAATTCAGTGGGACGTACGTTTAAACAATTTTTCAATTTCAGAAAAGAAACGAACTCTTCAAAAACCACATCCCAACCCCAGTATAGGAAACAAAGGTTTAAGGTTTAATTTAATGTTAGGCCAAAAAAAAAATACTCGGTCTCTGGTCAGCGCGCGCGTCGATTTTAATCATGCGCGTCAACCGATTTCTTTTCTTCAAATTAACACGGAAGCTATTAGCACGGAAGCGCCCTCTATTACCTCATCAAATTTTTGTACCAAGGAGCACCAAGGAATGGGGAAATTTCACCAAGGCAAATGATAAAGGGCACCAAGGCAAATTATGGAGGTCACCAATGTATGAGGACACAAAAACGAAAAATAGTACCCACCTTGTCTGTACAATTCAAGCTTGAAAAAAACAAACCGCGTCGCCGCATCAATTCCGGAACTTCGGTCTGACCAGAGACCGATTATTATTTTGTTTTGGCCTTAAAGTTTGATAATATCCAGAATTCAGTAATGATAGGTACAACGATGATGTATTTTTCAATATTCATCTTGATTTTGTCTGCAATAATTATCTACAAAACTCGAGAAGACAGTTAATCTCAATATGCAATTCCGTATACATTCCTAAGGATGGACCAAGGACAGAACGAACTGAAATTGAATGGAGTTGTTTTGAAGTTAAACAAACAAGTTGAAAAAAAAAGGTTTCATTCGTGAGAATATGATTGGAAAAAAAACTTGGCGAACGATGTTTAAAGGATTAGATTGTGCAATCGTGTAATTAGTCGACATGTATTTATGTAATTATTTCTCGTGTGATGTATATAATGGAATGGTTGAATCGAAATAGTAATAATGTGCAATGCTATTATTGGATTTCTTTTTATTTCACGGTGACCGATTTCTTGGTCCGTTAATTTGGGTGCCTTTTGCTGTAGTTCGTGTCGAAGAAGTTACCTGTACTAGAATTGAAATTGATAAGTGAAATTGACATTTATTCGTCCAACAGCTTGAACAAAATTAACATAACCACGACACAATACTTCAACTTCATCTTACGTGTTCTTTTGACATGCAAACTCATGGGAAAAAATTGAAAAGTTATGCCTTCGTTTGTATGCAAATGGCGGCTTATAATTACCACAATAACAATATTAATCCTTTTTTTCTTTCTTTTTTACTTCTTTGTTTTATTCCCCCACTTTTTTATCATTGCATTTTGGCAAGATGTTCATGTTTATTAGTAGAATTTCAATTTAATATGTTGAATGTGAAATACGAAAGACCTGTTGGCTACAGAGGGTGATTCGTGACCGGATGCTGGAAATAAAATGCATTAATTTCTACAATTTGTATCCTGGTGTTTTTTATTTTTAATTCTGTTCTACAAATATATCATAATTGTCTTTGTGATGTAAGGAATTTGAAAGCAATATTTGATATAATTGTTATTTTTTATAAAGGGCGAAATTTCGGAGACAAAATCATTCAAAAATATGATTATATTAAAAAAAATATTCTAACATTAATCGTCCAAATTCTTGGTTTGCTTCATTGAAATATACTCATCTTGCTTCGGGAGGCATTTACGAGTCGTTTTGCAGGGAATAATGAAACAAAATTTTGGGGGCAAAATCGGTCATAAATATGACACCTCCCCCCCCCCCCCCCGAAAATCAGGGTGCTGGGGTCCCTAAGGTATCTTTCCAGCAAGTTTGAAGCAATTTGATTTTTTTGGGCCAAAATTGAAAAAAAAAAAAAGTGTTAGCATTACATTTTTCATAAATTTGGCAAAATGTTGACGTTTCTCCACACAATGCAGAAATCCCTTTGGAAGTAAGAGGAGCATCAATCAACATTCAAACACCCAATATTTTACGGATTTGTTTCATTTATACATTTATTTTCAAATTTAACCATATGGGTTCAAATTATAAGTAGGCCTACCTGGTGTGTTTTCGGGATGATGTAAAAAAATCTTCAGCATTATCAGGTCTTCACAGGCTTAGAAGTTCCTTGCTGTTTTCTTTCATCTAGGCTTATTTCCTCCCCCCCCCCCCCCAACACACACACCCCGCCCATTTTGCTGGTACCCGGCAAGAGGTCGGGTGGTACGAGTACGAGTAAACCTAGTCTGGTTCCCAGACCTGACAATTATTCCCGACGCTCACGTCTTAAATTGTAAGTCAGGCAGCCTCCGTGGCTAAAAATAAATATGACGACATTAATGGCCCTTTTTCAAAGCACGGCTTCGTTTCCGATTTCGCTTTATCACTTGTAGCTTTTAATGTTCTGATCAAATCTTTAAATAAATCACTTGCTTCGTAATATCATACAGTTATGATAATACAGTTTGATGTTTTTGTAATAACATTGAGTAATGTTGATCTGGAATCTTCAAAATTAGGGAACCAAATACATGTAGCACTGTTAGCAGGCGGAGCCGAATGAAGACCGAGTTTTGGAAATCTCGGTAACGGTCGTCAAATTCAAAATTGTACATGACGCAGCAAAAAGTTCGCCCGTACGATCCGAGTATATTTGATGCACAAAATCGTCGTTGAATTTCAAGTTTTCTAAATTGAAACAATGAATATTAATTATCAACTCGTTTTAAGTAAAATTAATAAGCAATTAGCAGTTAATTAAACCTATATTATATACTCGGAAATACTCGGGCGCTATCCGATTGTCGACGAAACGACTTCGGCAAACTTCGGAAATTTTCGGAAAAAGGAGGAATTCCTCCCGTTTTAGTCCCCAGTGCTTACTTTATTTCCAACCGCGTTTCCAATAGAGAGCAGGTAGTGGTGGGCGCGTACTGCTCGACACCCTGGGGACGAGGTTGACCTGACCTAAGATTCATCAGGAATAGTCGGATACAGAGAAGCGAGGTTTTGAAAAAATTCCCCAAACCACTTGTACGGCACGAGGAAGGATGGATGACTCATATTTCATCAAAAAATTGCAAGAAAAAAAAATCTCTGACTGCGATTTCTGGCCTGAAAACAAGCCCTCTGTTTGCGGCTACCTTACTGTAGGGCGCCCCCAACGGGCGTTAATTGAGTTTTTGCTCCTTCCGACCCCAAATTACCCCCCCCCCCCCCCCTTGTTCGCTCGAAATTGCTGTGATCGGACGACGGTCCATCGGCCCTTTTCAGATTTTGGGCGCATTTGTTGCGGAACCGCCATTGGTGACCCCTTTTGAAACGCCGCCCCCCCCCCCCAGGTTCCGCCCCCCTGTAAAAAACCACTCCGCAAACATTTGACAACAAACGATGGAAGGCGCCATTTTAAAACTACAGGTAGCAGACCAGTAAATAAACTTCCATAGACCCCAATGGTAAATGCTCCCACTTCAAAAATTCGGGAAAAATACTCACAACTCTCCAAGGTGTTCGAGACGCACATCAAATTAAAGCTTATTTCATCATCTTTCATTTTCTTTTCAATTTTCGGGGGGTCAACTGATGACTTTTAGGAGAAATTTCCATCCGAAGATGATCACCCCTGAAAATAGTCCTGAAGTCCATCGCCATTTTGAAAAACGATGCCTACACTCCATTGCAAAATAGAGCGCTTTTAGGGTCCAAATTACATCCAAATTACACAGAACTGCAAGCTCCCAGTCCTGTGCACGGCTTCCACCCATATTTTTTACAAACCCTCAAGTTCATGGCCCAAAGCATGCCCAAATACCGAAGATTTTGAGGGCATGCAAATCGTGATTTGGCCGGCGCAGGCAATTTCGGACCGATTTACTGGTCTGCACCCCGGAATCTTTTGGTCTGGAAACCAGACTGGAGTAAACCGTCCATGTATGGGGAACCAGTTGGGGAATCGGTTTCCGGGGAATCCCCCTTTACGTGTCGCCATTGCCCAATTTTCCGGGGAATCCCCCTTTACGTGTCGCCATTGCCCAATTTGCCACCTCCAATTGCAACGACGTCACAGCCGTTTTACGGTAAGCACTTGATCTTTTATCAGGTTTATATCACCAATATAATCTCAACAATTGTTTCTAAATTCCGTTGAGTCAATTGGCTCAATACTCAGCCGAAATCTGACAAGTGACATAATGTAAAGTAGTATACAACATGGAGAAACAACTTTCTCTACCATTTTTAAATGCCAGTAAAATAGTATGACTTGAGAATGAATGTGGATTTCATTGTTAACATAGCCCCACTAGTGTGGCCGTCGGTATGCTGCGCTGAACCTCTGGCCACACACCGTGGTACCGCGCGCTACTGAGGACGAAGTTTTCATAAAATTCAGGGCAGTTTCTTACATTTTCAGTTTCTTACTTTCTTATGGTTGTATTCTATGATGTCTCACCTATCACTTCTGGGATGCTTAGGTCTAATGATGTTCCATTTTCCGAGATATTCTTCAATCTTTCTGGAGCCCATATGCACTCGTGAAACGTCTGGTGGTGGCAGCCATTTTGAATGTGACAAGAGATGACCTCAAGCTGTGACGTCGCGTTTATGCAAATTGCTTGTCGAGCGCGCGAGGGCGCGAGTTGCAAATGCGACGGCTGTTTCCTGTGCCGTAGATCCTGAATAGAGATCGGTGCACGTGGCCCCCCTGACGATAAATGCATGGTACAGGAAACAGCCGTCGCATTTGCAACTCGCGCCCTCGCGCGCTCGACAAGCAATTTGCATACACGCGACGTCACAGCTTGAGGTCATCTCTTGTCCCATTCAAAATGGCTGCCATCACCACACGTTTCACGAGTGCATATGGACTCCAGAAAGATTGAAGAATATCTCGGAAAATGGAACATCATTAGACCTAAGCATCCCAGAAGTGATAGGTGGAGACATCATAGAATACAACCATAAGAAAGTAAGAAACTGAAAATGTAAGAAACTGCCCTGAATTTTATGAAAACTTCGTCCTCAGTAGCGCGCGGTACCACGGTGTGTGGCCAGAGGTTCAGCGCAGCATACCGACGGCCACACTAGTGGGGCTATGTTAACATAGATGTTATTTAAAAAAAAAAATGGGGGGGGGGGTCAAAGTCTGTGGACAATTAAAACTTTTGGTTAGTGAATAATACTATTATACCAAACAAAAATGTTTTTAAAATGTTTGCAATTTTTTTTATTATTATTCCAGGCAAGTATTCTTGGCTGATTATAAGCAAACGTTTAGTTAGGTCCTTATTTCTTAGGATGTGATGTTTACACGTTTACAAATTACATGTTAAAAATTCTCAATTTCTCATCGTTTAAACAAACTTAACTCGAATATAAAAATAAAAATGTAACAATGTTATTCCTCTAGTCTATCTGCTATATGGTGGCCATGGAGTGCATTAGCCCCACTAGTGTGGCCGCGGTATGCTGCGCTGAACCTCTGGCCACAGACTGTGGTACCGCGCACTACTGAGGACGAAGTTTTCAAAAAAATTACGGTCAGTTTCTTACATATGGTTGTATTCTATGATGTTTCATCTATCACTTCTGGGATGCTTAGGTGTAATGATGTTAAATTTGCCGAGATATTCTTGAATTTTTCTGGAGCCCATAATCCATATGCACTCGTACTCGTGAAAGCAGCCTCTATACGCATCATATTTCCCTCGAAATGATGATGACCCATTCCTTGACAGCTAGTTGTTACTGCAATTGCAAAACACTCCAGCATTTTCATAATATCCATCACCGCACGTGGCTGGAGTTACCCAGCCCTGAATTTTATCATTGGGTTGTCATGTAGGGCTGGAGCTAATTTTTCACGTAACCGAGCAGCGTAGGCAGGTCCCAAAAAAATTGCGAACATTTTTGGAAAATGTTCAAGTTTGTCCCTGTTACACACTACTTGCAACTGCAACTCACCCCAAACTTGCCTGGAATAACCATTACACAGGTCCTTGAAGTAAAACACGATCCACGATGAAGATTCAGCCTACAATTGCAGTGAAAAAAAGGAGGAATAACCGCTAACCTGACAACCTTGCTGGCATGGCCAGGACCGCAATTGGTTTGTGCACAAAAAAAAATTGTGTACAATGAATGGCGGTCGATTATCAGGCACAGAGCGCTGTCAACTACTCGTTTTTGCCGGCTGCGCTGGCTGTTGGCGCATGACGTCACGCGGAAGCGTAACACCCGATGACTGTTTCATGCACTATCTGTTGCGGTTCCAGTACCAAAGCTGTGATGCGAGTGGTAAACCTCATATTCAAAACATGACTCGGCAGCTTTTGAATTGAAATCAAGATCCTAGAATACTGTTTTCAAAATACGGCATTCACTGAGATGGAACTTCATCTGGCTATAGTTATTAAGCACCCATCTTTAGATTTTGAGCACTTTTGTTGCTTCAAACGAAAAAAATGCTCAAATGACAAATGATCTACCCTAGCTACCTTTAAAGATTGATAACACCCATCTGTTCTTTATATTCATGCAAGCAATATTCTTAACCACCATACTTTTTTCAGATGGACATTCTTCAGATGTGCAAGGGTAGAAGCCAAGATGCGAGCCTGGCTTTCATCTTTATCCTCACCCTTGCTGTACTGCAAACCCAAACTCAGGTACACAGAAACAATGCTCCAACCCAACATGTTTTTTTTGTCCCAGACAGTGGCGTGGGGAGGGGGGGGGGGGGGGGGGGGGGGTGGGGGGGGGCGTGGGGAGGGCGCGTGGGTGGGTGGCGTGGGGGGGGGGGGCGACAGCCCCCCATGAAACCTTGTCGCCCCCCAGTCGCCCCCCACTGAGATTTTGAGTTTCTAAAAAAATTATCATTGATCTACATGACGCCCCCCATGAAATGTTCAAGCCCCCCCAGCCCCCCCCCCCCCCCCCCCCACTGAAAAATTCCTGGTTACGCCACTGGTCCCAAAGGCAACGGTGTACATTGTAACTAGGGTTAAACTTCAAGGGGGGCATTGGGGATCACCAATTTTACAAAGGGGGCAACTTTTGGTGCTTTTCAAGGATTGCATAAAAAGTACATTGCATATATTTTTTGTGCTTTACCTACATGATTTTACTTGTTATCTTTTTGAGACCAGAGGCATCAGTCGCTTCTCAATTTTGTTTTATTTTAAGCGCTCTGTGGTGCGATCTCAGGCAATTTCTGACCACTTTAACCAATGCTTTTTTCTTGAGCAAAATATAATCATTTAATCATCATTTTCAAGGTTTCGAATCATTGAATCGGCTATTCTGGGCTATATATACAGGCGTGGGGTTCGGTGCCCGCTTACGGGCCCCGAAATTCGTTTGGATTTTAAATGCTCTGTGGTGCGATCTCGGGCAATTTCTAACCACTTCAGTCAATTTTTATGCCCCGCGGCGAAGCCGAAGGGGCATACTGTTTCCGCCTTGTCCTTCCGTGGGTGGGTGGGTGGGTGTGTGGGTGTGTGTGTGCGTTCCTGGGTGAGTTTGTCTTACATACGCAGTGTGGACTTCCGAACAAAAGACGTCCACATAATGTAGGTAGCACCGACGTTGTGTGGACTTACCCCACGTCCACACAGTGTTTCCCCATTTCTGGAAAACAGGTTTAGAGGCATTTTTGGGTTAGGTTTATCTGTAGCAGAATGAAGAGAAACACTAAAGGGAATCATAGAAAAAAATTGGGTTGAAAGAGTTTTCACAGTTTGAGAAAAATGATTTTTTTCACTGGTTTTTCTTAACTACACGAAAGCAATGGAAAGTCCACACTAGTCATGTGAAACAAGTATGGGTGTGTGGGTGAGTGTGGGTGTGTGTGTCCGGACAAATCTTGTCAGCGCGATAACTTGAGAAATACTTAACATATGAACTTCAAATTTGGTTTGTGGATTGTCCTTGGTAATCCTAAGAAGCCTTTTGCATTTGGGGCCGAAAGGTCAAGGGTCAAGGTCACAGTGGCTGAAACAATAGAAATTTTGTCAGCACGATAACTTGAGAAATACTTAACATATGAACTTCAAATTTGGTTTGTGGATTGTCCTTGGTAATCCTAAGAAGCCTTTTGCATTTGGGGCCGAAAGGTCAAGGATCAAGGTCACAGTGGCTGAAACAATAGAAATTTTGTCAGCGCGATAACTTGAGAAATACTTTACATATGAACTTCAAATTTGGTTTGTGGATTGTCCTTGGCAATTCTAAGAAGCCTTGTGCATTTGGGGCCAAAAGGTCAAGGGTCAAGGTCACAGTGGCTGAAACAATAGAAATTTTGTCAGCGCGATAACTTGAGATATACTTTACATATGAACTTCAAATTTGGTTTGTGGATTGTCCTTGGCAATCCTAAGAAGCCTTTTGCATTTGGGGCCAAAAGGTCAAGGGTCAAGGTCACAGTGGCAAAAACAAAAGAAATTTTGTCAGCGTGATAACTTGAGATATACTTTACATATCAACTTCAAATTTGGTTTGTGGATTGTCCTTGGCAATCCTAAGGAGCCTATCGCATTGGGGGTCGAAAGGTCAGGGTCAAGGTCACAGTGGCTAAAACAATAGAAATCTTGTATTTATTCTGAGATCATAGGGATTAGGGATTAATTTATATAAAACCTACAGAAGACACTAATGCTGTCAATGAACGTTCCATTTGACCAAGGTACATGTAAGTTGATGTTAGAGTGGTGTTATGTCATGGAAACAGTCACGGTTGCGGGGCATTTGTGTTTGTAAAAACACCTGACTTGTTTTTGTTTTTTTTGGTAAAGATAATCGTTTAAACATCATTTTCGAGGTTGAAGTCATTGAATCAGCTATTTTGAGCTATAGGCGTGGGTTCGGGCCCGCTCAAGGGGCCGGGCCCCAACAAAATTTACATTGTAGATGCTCTGTGGTGCAAGAGATCATCATTTAAAGTGTCACGTACTAGTCACGTACTATCAATCAAGAATCATTTTTTTGAGTTACATTTTTGATCGAGTGTAGAGCTGACGAGCGCAAATCAATAGGCATATTTTTGGAACTACTAATAATCTGGCTATAGTACATAAAAGGGCCCTATAAATGAGACTCACGAGTTCTTGTTGCTTAATGTCCCCTGATTGACTGGTGATTGAATTGTGATTCAACATTTGATTGACATGTAATCTACTTAAGACTGATTTTGTGATTGAATTTGGATTGACTTCTGCTTGTAAAAGTTGTGATTGATATGTGATTGACTTAACATGTATGATTTTTGTTGTCTTTACCCACACTATAAAGGCACATCAGACTACTACTGAGTCACCATCAGGTAATGAATTATCAACAGGGGATGAACCACAAAATGGTGAGTTATTTTCCTCACATTTGTGACATTGAACAAGGTTGTACTCTGTTCATTCAAACTCTCTGCAAACTATGTGCTCTCATTGGCCATGCTAATCATTACGCAAGGACATGTACGTGTGCCATTGATGTCTTCCACCCACATTCAGATCTGTTCATCTTGGGAATGACCTTTATGACCTTATTCTGACATAGTTGTGTCGCCTAAACAAAGTTTTTGGAGACACAACCAGTCCTAAATTCTGCGTGACCGTAGACCCGGTTATGTTAAAGTTTTGAAAAAAAAAAATTATAACTTCTACATGCTTTCATGGATTTTGATGAAACTTGGATGCAGTGACCCTTGGGTGGGAATTACTCAATTCTTCATCAGATTACTGAGGTCAAAGGTCATGTAGGGTCATTAGAGGTCATTGTTCATTATTATCCAGAATTTCATGGATTTTTATACAACTTGGATGGAGTGATCCAATTAGGTGTGGGGTTCATCACTAGTCTGGGGTCATTTGAGGTCATTGTTTTATAATTGCCAAGACTTTTTTTTAAGAACTCAAAACATATAGGGATCGACCATGGTAAAAGGCAACACATGTGGTCCGCAAACAATTTGTTTTACTCTCATACGTTGGTCTTTTGATATATTGTAGATAAATAGTTAATGTTTTTGATAATGTACTAAAAAAAAGAAACAGAATTTCTTGTGATCTGTAGTAACATTTAGATTCCAAAATCCATCCGTTTGTAAAACTAAGTGGAACAGTTACATGTATATCACATAATGTTGTCATGGAAACTGGCTATATCTAGACTTGTACATGACGACAGGCAAGATTCCCAACTAATGACTGAGTTGAATTCACCATGACAACTATTGTACATTAATTGCTTCTCCTTTCCCTTTTTGTTTTGTGGAATAGCACCTCCTGTGATAGTCTCACCTCAACCTGAGCCTAAGGTAAGTTGAACCATGGGGTAAGTAAGTTGAGCCACTTACCCACTCTAACTGGCCAATTGAGTTGAGATATTAAAATACTGTGCTTCTCAGTGTTAGTGTGACCTCCTTCACTAACCAAACTCCCTAGCATGATTTATTAGGAACCATACCCATCCTGGCAAATTCCAACACCATATGGGAAACTGCACGTATATATTTCGGACTTTGATTCTGGAGGTGTGTTAACTGTACAGTTAAGGGGTACTGTACCCATCCTGACAGATTCCAACAAAACAGGCCGTTGGGGTTTGATGGGTTTGTCTTCTGTGTATAAATAGGGTTAATTCCTTTCTGATGTGCATGAATAGCCAGTTAAGTTAAAGGTGCACATGGTCTGAAGAAAAACCAAAATTTATCCTCAAAACTGAAACGTCTTTGAAAGGATAAGTGCCTTCACAGTTTCAACTCATTATAGGTTTTTTTTCTAATTTATAGAGATCATGAGATATTGGGCTATTATCATGAAGACAGGGGCCAAGTTCGGGCAGGGACCATTAGTCGACTAGTGGTTGATTAGTGAAGTAACTTACGCCTGCGCACTAATAGCAACGTGCGAACGTCTCTAGGCGAACGCTGGTCAAAATGTCATCGCAAAACAGGATCCTGGCTCCCTGCTGTACGTTATGAATGCGTGTCGCTGTTGGTTACCAGCGATGCAACCAGCCCCAGTAGGTTGGTTCCAAATAGTCGACTAGCGTAGTCAACCACCGTCGACTAGACAGAGTTCGGGTTAACTTTAGTCGAACAATGGTAAACCAATGGTCAACAATAGTTCTTGCGCAAATTTACCCTTTGATGTGCTGAACATGTGTCGAAATGGTACACTTGGCTAATTAATATGAAAGAGTAGGGTGGGGTAAGTTGAGCCAAAAATGGGGCAAGTTGAGTCCTGGATCAATTGTCATCACCCATTCCATATTTGAGTAATAAAAAGTACATTTTCGTACTTCGGTGTTTCCATTTTCATTCAGTTTGAGTGTTAGTTTGACTATTGTACAATTTAACTTGCCCATTTAACTTAATGTGTCTGTATATTTCTTCCCTTTCTTATTACGGTGTTGAAATCCGTAACGTGCCCCACTCTAGCTCCAATGAATGGGCTAACCCCGGCCCGGCATTGTAGATGTATGAAAAGCCTGCCATTCAGAAGCCATTCCGAAATCAATTGAATATGGACAGGGCTCTCACTGCCTGGATAAAAACTGGAAAGTTATCTCAAATGATTTTAAATTTGGACTAACTTTGGACCCTGGCCAATTGCTCGCCAAGGGGGGCCTGGCCCCACCAGCCCCCCCCCCCCCCTTGGCGACGGGCTTTCAGTGGTCTCCTGCAACTCTGTCTTTGTAACTACTGAAGGAGTGTTAGTGTGCATAGAATGCTGGCTATAAGTATTTATATTTATCATTTGAATGTGAAAGATTTTAAAAGATGTAGCACAGGAATGATTTTGGTTTCTGGTGATGTACCCACAGTGTTGTATGGATGCTGATTGTCAACGTTATTGTAACATTAAATGCACTCAACATGGATGTCTTCCAGATACACAGAAAGAAGGTGAGTTATGTGCTTGACATTGGTGACGTTTCTTTTTGACATTGAACAAGCTCCATAAATATTTCATGTCCTCTTTTCATATAAAGATGTATACCCGTGTTATTTTTAGTTCTGCTTCATCCCCCAAAATATATTTCTTTTCTTAACGGCTTTTTTCTAGTTCACTTTTGAACGAGACACTTACCCCAAAATTAGCCCATATTTAGTTAGAGCCTGAAAATGCATCCTTGGTGACGTGCTTCCGGAACTGTATAGGAAAAGTAACGTGAACAAAATTCTAAAATTCGCAATTATTTTTGGTACGTTGATTTCCTTGAGAAAATCACCGGCAGGAAAGGTGGCGATTATCGGGGAAAAAATGAAAATAAAATATGAGACTAAGATGTCTTTTAGGATATAAAACTTTTGGAATAAACTTGAGGGAATCATAGTGTTTATAATAAAAATCTAAAATGACCACTGATAAGGACTATATACATGCCAGCACGACTAAATCTAGAACCTATCAGCTGTAGGCAGGTAAATGGCGTCGTTTTTTGTTCTCACGCAAGTACGCAATGTGAAAACAAAGGTAAATGAGCACGGAGACCTAGTAACAAACATGCCAGCTGTGAAAGGTCCTAAAGTAAAATGCAATTTTTACCTATCTCCAAGTAATTTTTCATTATTTTCTTCTTGAGAAGATAAAACCGCTAGAAATTAATATTTATACAAATTGGAATTATTGGCTGCCATACAATAGACCATTATCATGTTGCGGCCATCTTGTTTTTTTTCCCATTCAAATCAACGTAACCAAAGTGAGGCTGGTGAGGCAACGTAACCAAAGTGAGCTTTTGCACAAAAAACATCATTCAGTACTGTTATTGGATCATTGTACAGGGAACATGACTGAAATGCCGGCAGCATGATAAAGGTCTATAAATCCATTCTCGTGGGGTAGGCTGGTTCCCGCCCCACAATCAGTATCAATAATCAGGATCATTTTGCATTTTCAATAAACTTTAATTATATCTCCCTTTTTTTTTCTCCCTTTTCTGTTTATTTGCCTATACAGTTTTACACCAATCTAATGATATAAAAGACCAGGTAAGTGTAATTCTTCTTGTGATCCTTAATTATCATGTAATTCTTCCATATTTGACTGATTGACTGACTAAGTGCCACCTGTTACACTTTCGCGTATCCTAATTCCTTATGAGTTCCTTATCAAAATTTTTCAATACGCAGCCGTACGCGACGCACATCTAGCGCACAAGTAACGAATTCAGCGCATCCATTGCGTATGAGATTCCGATGAGTTGCGTATGCAGAGCACAACATTATTTTTCGGGCTGCGAATAGGTCAGTATGGAGTGCGCATGCTGAGCGTATTCCGGACGCACCCGACTTATGCCGACCGCATGCCTGACGCAATACATCGGCATTCGCTATGAGTTCGTTCAGTGTGCGTTGTATCTGCGCTGCAAGCACGCTATATACGTCCAATATAGGCGGCTCATCATGCTGACGAGGTGCGTGCCGGGAGGTCAGCGTATTATCGCGTATGAACTGCTTATCCACCACGAACACATAGCGTACTCGTACCGCGCTCGACCGATGTGGGACCGATGCGCTGCGTATTTATAACTTATGACCTGCGTAACAGCGTACGCAGTGTAGTTTTGTGCATGCCCAAAACTATCCTGCGTACTGGGCCGTACCGTGCGTATGCCTGCGTACATAAAACTTACATAAAACGATAGAGATGCATATGAGTTGCGTATTGTGCGTACGACTGCGTATGAAAAAAAATGTCAATGCGCAACTCATAAGGAATTAAGATACGCAGAAGTGTGACAGGGCCCTAACTGGCTTAAAGTCATGATAAATTTCAGTTGTTATTAAAGATTTTGTTAAAGTCTAAAGATAAGTAGGGACTGTTTTTTTTGTGTGTGATCTACCAACAGTGTTGTAGTACTGGAGACAACTTTGAAAGTACTTCAAGCAGTGGGGGTCTGGGAATAGTGAATGGAAGTAAGTTATGCCATGGGGCTATGTGCTCTACATTAATTTATGATATACAGAGTGAGTAAAAAAGAAAGCTGCCCAAACGTTGTCCCCTTTTTGTTTTTAAACAGGTTCGGATCTGCACGTAGGGCTTTCCAGATCTAGGGTATGAAAGCCCAATTTAATGATAAGCTTTCTAGATCTGTTAGTTAAAGAATCATTCAAATCACTCATGTACTTTTCCAGTTATGTAATTTGAAGACAAACACTGTTTTTTAACCTGTCCATGGATCATTTTTAACCACTTTGGACAGGAATATTGTTGCAGAAAATTTCGATTTTCTTTCCAAAATAGGCAAAATATAGCAGACAGCTTCTGATATTCATGTACAGCCAAATGCCACAAATACTGATTCACAAGAGTCATTTCAACAGTATATGTACAATATTTCTTGCTGTGCAACGGAGAGTAAATTGTAGAACAATAGACCATGCACAGAGGCCTTGTTCAATTTCAACTCACGATCTGCCTCCACAGACTGTATTTGTGTGTTCGAAACAAACAGGGATCTAAGTGTGATTTGAGACGTCACCCGCAGGCGAGTTGAGGGTTTTAACCCGTCAGCCGTGCCTGTGTATAAAAACAGCCAGTGCATGTTAAAAGTACATGAGCAATTTGAATGATTCTTTCACTAAAGGAAATTAAAGCTCATTAATTGGACTTTCATATCCCAGATCTGGAAAGTGCTACATTTAAATATAGGGGGCACTATTTGGGTTTCCCTTTTTTTGTCTCAACCTGTGTAACAGGCTCCATAAATATTGAATGTCTTCTGTTCATTTAAACTCATCAGTCTCTGGAAACTATGCCCTCAGCAATAATAAGGTAATTTATTACACAAGAACACAAGGGCCATTTAGGTTTTGCACCATATATATTCAGGTGTATCCATAATTATTGGGATGTATCAACATAATGTCACTCTCATTTCAAATCTCCTAATTTTGAAATATTTTGCTGATGTTTTTGGTATATTAAAGTTACTAACAACTGATTTTACCATCATATCTAAATACAACGGTCAGCTGCAAATCCACCTGTTTGTATAATTCACTAGAAATAGCCATTGTATGAAATGATTGTATTTCACAACAGTCAAGGTTCTCAACCAATGAATTTAACTCACTGTATTGATATACATTAATTACTACTCCCTTTCTTTTTGTTTTGCTGTGTAGCAACTGATGTGACAGACACTCCAACATCTGTAAGTGTAAGTCTTGCTGTCTGCTTCGTGATTTTTTCATATTTCCTCTGATTCATTGGCTGGCTGAGTGATTAACACTTAACATTGCTTAATTGTGACCTGCAGGTCGTGTAATGTATTGAATTAACCTGCAGTGCCCATGCATTTGCTAATTTAGCTGGCCTTTATATGTTTCATTTCCTTATATAGTGCCACCTTAAAGCTACAGTCCATCATTTGTAGCGATCCAAAAATAAATCCAAGTATTTATTATTGAAAAACATGCTTGGTTTAAAGATAAAAATTAGACTAAACTCCCTGTGAAGTTGTTCTGTCTGGCAAGCTGTCATTTTGAAGAAAACCGATGACATGATGTATCATCCCAGCATCAAGTCATTGGTTAACCGGACTCTAGTACAGAGAGCCTTTGATGTCTGCAACCAAGACAACTTCAAGCATGAACTCAAGCACATCCAGGCATCACTACAACGGAACGGCTACAAACTCAACCGCATCAAGATCAGCAAGCTTGACCAATGGGTCTCCTCTACCCAAGGTCCTTCCACAGTCACTCTTCCATACATAGGTCCAGCTTCTCATCATCTCCAAAGTATCCTCAGACAAGCCGGTGTCAAGGTGTACCACTCATCTGGCAACAAGCTCCAAGGCAGCCTCCACACTCATAAGGACAAGCAGGACTCCTCTTCCAAGGCGGGAGTCTACCGCATTCCATGTGAATGGGGCAAAGTCTACATCGGGGAAACCGGTCGGAAAGCTTCCCACTAGGCTCAAGGAACACAGAGCACATGGACGGCGAGGGGATTTTGACAAATCGGCCATTGTCAAACATTCCCACATCAACGACCACAAAGTTGATTGGGATGCGGTTGAACTCATCGCACCGATCCAGTTCTGGCATCCAAGACGCATACAGGAAGCCATCGAGATCCGCAAGCACAACACATATACCTTAGGTCCTCAGCTATATATACCTTAGACTGATGGGTCTCCTATACCCTAGGTCCTTAACCTTCACCTTAGACTGATGGGTCTCCTATACCCTAGGTCCTTAACCTTCACCTTAGACTGATGGGTCTCCTATACCCTAGGTCCTTAACCTTCACCTTAGACTGATGGGTCTCCTATACCCTAGGTCCTCTCTCTACTGAGACTGCAACCTACTGTTCCACTTCAGTGGGCACCTAGCTTGCTCTGGGGCTACTTGGCATCCACACAGGATGCAACTTCACACTTCACCGATTTTGCTTTTGCTACTTAAGTATTTACTTTCTTAGAGTTTAGCCACTCTCCTGAAGACGGTCAGAGCATACTGAGTTTAGCCACTCTCCTGAAGACGGTCAGAGCATACTGACCGGAGCGTCGAGTTTATACCTCTTTCTTTTCAGAACCATTCTTTGAGATGAGAAATTATTCGGACATGGTGTTTCTGCAAACCTTTCATTATTTATAAGTCTTGGTCCCGACTGTGCATTTATATGTGCACATCTGCAGTGAATAGTACTGCCGGTACTCCAGTTAATACAAAATTCTGACAAAACAAACATTTTGGCTAGGTTAGGCAGAATTTTTATTTAATGAGGGTCAACTACAGTAAACTCCGGCCAAGTCGACACCGTACAACTCGTCAAATCGCTCAAGTCGGCCGTCTGAAAGTCCCGATTGTCTGTAATGCATTTCCATTGCATTTTTATGCCCCGCGGCGAAGCCAAAGGGGCATACTGTTTCCGCCTTGTCCTTCCGTGGGTGGGTGTGTTAGTGGGTGGGTGGGTGGGTGGGTGTGTGTGTCCGGACAAATCTTGTCAGCGCGATAACTTGAGAAATACTTAACATATTAACTTCAAATTTGGTTTGTGGATTGTCCTTGGTAATCCTAAGAAGCCTTTTGCATTGGGGGCCGAAAGGTCAAGGGTCAAGGTCACAGTGGCTGAAACAATAGAAATTTGTCAGCGCGATAACTTGAGAAATACTTAACATATGAACTTCATATTTGGTTTGTGGATTGTCCTTGGCAATCCTAAGGAGCCTATCGCATTGGGGGACGAAAGGTCAAGGGTCAAGGTCACAGTGGCTAAAACAATAGAAATCTTGTATTTAATCTGAGATCATAGGGATTAGGGATTAATTCATATAAAACCTACAGAAGACACTAATGCTGTCAATGAACGTTCCATTTGACCAAGGTACATGTAAGTTGATGTTAGAGTGGTGTTATGTCATGGAAACAGTCACGGTTGCGGGGCATTTGTGTTTGTAACACACCTGACTTGTTAATTTCTAAGTCGGCTTTTATAAGTCGCCATTTTGCTCAAGTCATCGTGTTACTCCCCTTCCCATAAAAAGCATTGCAAACGTCACGTGTCATGTGGTTGCGAAGGGCGATTTGTAAAGGTTACGTACAATGAAACTACATGTACATAGACATGTTCACGTTGGCGGGTGAAATGTTTGAAAATTAATTTCTCCAGTTTGGAAGACCGTATCTTCATGCAACTGTCAGGATTTATTTCCCTTACAATAATCCAAGTATGTGCTAAAAATCGTTGTGATATGTTCAATACTTTTTGTTGAAATTGGAAAAAATAGGCCGCGCTACGTGCATTTTTGAAAGCTGTAACACTGACGTTTGCATTATCTGTCAATCTTTTCAAGCCTCACGAAGATTACTAAGGCTCCTTTCCATTGTAGTGTCAAGGAAACATTTGGAGAAAAGCCTCCTTCACAAGTTATTAATTGATAAATAACACCCTTTTTGCCGGCTTCCATTGGTCGATACCGAAACCCACGCCAAAACAGGCCGAGTGACGCAATTGAATATGCTTATCCACCATACGTTATTTTGTAGCTTGGCCGAAATCGGTCAACCGTAGTGCTGTTGAACATTGAACGTGGGTTGAGACGGCAGAAAATCCTCGTCGAAATTTTCCATGGAGTCTGCTTCTACTAGCGTTTGCAACAACTGATTTAAGCTGAAATTCGGAAATACCAGATGATATACTCCTGATATAACAACTTAGAGAAATTCCTAGAAATAAAAATAAATACATAGATTTGGGGAAGTTTTCAAACGATTTCTTCCAGACTTGAAGGTCAGCTATACCGGTAACCAGTACTGACGTTTCGGCATTGACGACGGCGATTTTTTCACTGACATAAATTTTAGAAGTTCTTCTTCAGGTATAATTAAACATTTCAATCATACCGAGCATATTTTCTGAGAAACACAACATTCAAAAGGCCATGTTTTTTTTGTGGTGCATGAATTTCACTGCACTGATAATCGGATTAGCTTTCCTTAATAACTGGAAACGCTTTGCCTTAGTAACCACATGACTGTTAAGGAGATAAACCCAGGGAAACCGAAGCCATTAGTGCAATGAATCATGTGCAAAAGGCCATTCATGTAAGTCGGCAAAATGACGACTTACAACAGATGTTGGCAATTAGCGTAAGTCGTCATAAATTTCTGGGACCCGAAAGAGCAAACTTGGCCAGAGCTTACCGTATATTAATATGGTCTCGCCTGGACTTTATTAGAGGAAAGAGACTGTCCAATCAGTATGTCTGTAAGTCTGTATGTTTGTATACAGTATTAAATGTACAAGGTGAGTAAAAAAAAAACCCGCGAAACTCAAACCTAAGAAAAATATATATTTCATGTTTTACAAAATATGTAGCACCAAAAATCCGTTTATTGAGTGGTCGGGCACAACCAAACAACTGTTTAGAATTGTTCTGATAAATCTTCTTCGGTTCTTTCTTTCTTTCTTTCTTTTTTCCGTACAATAATTCTTCGCGGGGTTTTCTCCCAAATGGTTTATGGTATACCTGTAACTTTCAAAATATGTCGACCCTTATCCTGAGTTATACATATTACGCTGCGTCATGATAATGTCATCGGGGATCAAATTGCAAGCGATTTTCGTTGAAAAATTTCCATCTTCTTTCACCTATAACTCTTGAACAGAACAAATTAATCATGTTCATTATGACGTATCAGATAGACCATTAATTGATAAACATTTTTTTGTCATGTATGTGAAGTTGCTTGACCTTTACTTCCGTGTCAACCGGCCGGAAGGTCAAACTTAGGTAAATTTAAAATCCAGACGGAACCTTCAAAATCAAAACGAACCAAATTTCTTCCAAACCATTTACGGGATTATGATAAAACCTGGTACGAACTTGATCGCCCGTCTGAAGAAATTTTTAAAAATATGACGTCATCGATCATGATGTCATCAGGCATCAAATTACAAGCAATTTAAGGCCAAATTCGAGAAAATAGTTTCAGCTATATCTTTAGAACTAAATAGAGTATCGCGTTCTTTTTTCGTGAGATTGTAAATGATGCTTCGGGCAACAATTCTTATTCCCAGGCACAAAACCGCTTGACCTTCACTTCCGGTGTTACCGGAAGTGCATTAACAGTTGAATATAACTCGAAAGCGGAAGCTTTTTTATGTAAGCACATAAATCCTTTTTTTAATTCAAAAACCATCCGTCCAAATTATTGCCCCGTGTTTTTTTTTATCAACTATATATAGTTTCAAAATTATGATGCAACGTTTCAAAATGATGACGTCATCAGACCGGACGTTACTGTAGGGAGAATTTGAAAAAGATCATTTTATTGGCGAGCTGCGAAGCAGATGCGAGCCTATGTAATACCAATTTCCGTCTGTCTGTCCGGGCGCCCGTCCGTCCGTCCGTCCGTCTGTCTGTCCGGACGTCCACGTTCAGATAAAAATGTTGAAGTTTTTGGTTCTAGTTAACTTGGGGAAAAAATTAAATGCAGCTGTCATGTATCATCTCTATAACTTCAGTTAGGTTCATATCATTGCAGTAAATTTTATGATTTTATTGAGGAACTTTAATTCAAGGAAATTGTTACATGTACATGTATACTGGTATAACATGTATGTGTGTGTATACCGGTATAACATGTACACTATGCATTTTGGGGATGTGCATGAGCTTCTGGTTTGATCTTTTAGTTTATGGGGTTGGAGTAGGGATGGGGTAGGGAATGGTGGGGTGAGGTGGGTTGGGGGAAAGGGTTGGAGTTAGGGTTTGTGTGAGTAGGATGAGTAGGGGAGCTAGGATGGGTGGGGCGGGGTGGGTTGGGGTGGGGTTGATGTGGGGAGAGGGGTTTGGAATACCTGCCGGTTTGGGTGGGGTGGGGATTTGTAGGGGTGGGGTGGGAACAGGTAGGGAGAGACAGGTAGGGGGAGACAGGTATGGAGAGGATGGGCATGGATGTAGGGGTTGGGTTAGGAGGGGGTTGGGCAGGGGGAGGGATATAGGATCGGAGTAGGGGTTGGGTTGGGGATGTGTAGGGGTGGGTAGGGATGGGTTGTTGTAGGGGTTGGATAAGGGGAGGGGGCAGTATATAGGGATCAGAGTAGGGGTTGCATGGGGTCAGGTGGGGATGTATGGGTGGGGGAATGGGGTGGGCTGGATATTGGAATTCGAGTAAGGGTTAGGATGGGGATGTGTAGGGTGGGTAAGGACAGATAGGGGAAGATAGGGTAGGTGGGTGTAGGGGGTTGAGGTAGGGGAGGGTACGGGTCAGGGGAGGGGGAAGGAGATAGGGATTGGAGTTTGGGTGGGGTTGGGATGTGTAGCTGATAGGGTGGGGATGGTTAGTGGAGGATGGAATGGGTGTGGGTAGGGGGTTGGGTGGGGGAGTGGGCGGGTTGGGGATGGGGTAAGGTTTTGGGATGGGGTAAGGTTTTGGGGAGGTGGTGATTGTGCTGTGTCTACATGTACATGTATACCCTTTCTTGTTCTTGCATGGTAATACAAGTATGGGGAGCAGAAGACACTGTTGGGGCTGCAAAAATTCACAACTGGGTCCTAATTACCCTAGCAATGGAAAACTCCCCCATAATACAGTGACGGCTAACCTATATACACATGTATTTATTAGGTAATCTGGTGACTTTTTATGTTGACATTTAAAAACTGACCCCTACACCTAGGCACATCAACAAGAATCCTGATCCCCATCATGCCCATCCTCAACCCTACCTTCAGCCTCCCTTCCTGCATTGGACAGCGAGCCATGGCGGCTTCGCCGTTCTAGTTTATTAAATTCAATCATTTGACCCCTGTCTATGACTTTGTTTGTAGCCCAAATAAGGATATCCGTTACAATGTTGACCTTTGGATCTTAAAAGCTGTGACGTCATCAAGTTTAACCCTGTATTACGCTGCTGAGTCCAGTCACAATTAAGTTCATTGCAAAATTTATTTAGTGGAACGATCTGTGACAAAAGCAGTCCTTGGTATAATTGATGTTCATCTCTTGTTGTTTTTAACCTGATTTGTGACTTATGATTGACTTGTAATCTACTTGAGACTGAATTTGTGATTGATTTGTGATTGACTACTGATTGCTTTCTTTGTCTTCCCACAACAAGGGTCAACAGACAGATCTGAAGACTTTTACTAGTGCGTCACCCAGTAATGGAGCAACAATAACGGAGAACAAAGGTTAGTTAAATGTGCTCCACGTGAAATTGTGACATTTTGTTGTGATATTGAACAAGGTTCAAAAATATTTTGTGTCCTCTGTACATTGGAACTATCTGCAAAGTGCAAACTATGCTCTGAGCAGTAGTAATGTCATTTACGTATACGTCTTGCACCACATTTTGTGTTTTTTCATTTTGGAATGAACTTCGGACCTTCCTCAACATAATGTTACTCTCATTTGAAATCTCGTTTAGAACTTACAGCAGTACTTTAAAAAGTGTGGGGTTATCATATCATTTGGTTCCCCCCCCCTTACTTTTTTGTCTCCGAATAAATATCCTACAGTTTGATTTTATAGCTCAGGATAGCTGATTCAATGACTCCAAACTAGAAAATGGTGTTTGTATGATGACATGGTGTACCAACAAAATTGGTTAAAGTGGTCAGATATTGCCTGAGATTGCACCACAGAGCATCCAGATGATCCAAAATTTTCCGGGGCCCTTAAACCATGGTCCCGAACCACACACAGTTTTAGGGCTTCGCGCTATATGCGCTCGCATTTACTTTTGATCACATATTATGTCCCCCCCCCCCACTTTGCCTTCGGCGTATAGCAGAGTTGCTGACTCGAGTCATGTGACTTGGACTCGAGTCGGACTCGAGTCGCTATTTTTGTGACTTGTGACTTGACTTGTAAATACCAGCCTTGACTTGTGACTTGACTTGGACTTGCAAACAATGACTTGTGACTTGACTTGGACTTGCAAAAAATGACTTGTTACCAACCCAAGTCAGACGCTACTCGATTTTATTTTAATTGAAGTCGCCCATCACAAGGCCCAAAAGGCCACTCAAGGTGTTTATAAATGCAGTTTATAGATGCAGCGAGAAAGTTTCATTCCAGAAAATAGACCTCAGTGACTGAATCCAGTAAAATGAATAGTTCCCACTAGTTTCAAAAGTTTTCAATAAGACTGTCACAACAAACTACAGTTTTCAATGACCAAGTCTCTTGCTTAATGTAATGGTTGAACAAACTTTGAAAGGAACCTTTCATGAAAAGAAAGCATGCCTTTGTCAATTGCATGTAAAATACCTCATAGCTTAACCCATTGGTATAGACGTTTAGTATACATGAACATTTTAAAAGTTGCTTAAATCAGTGATGTAACAATAAACATCTCTGTGTGGGTGCAATCACATCCACACCATGACCTAGTGCTTAAAGGGGTCATATAATAATTTGTGCACCTTTCTACTCCTCTTAAATGTAAGAAAACTATTTGACATCCCTTTTTGGTTAATTTTCTTGAAAAGTTCACTTCTTTAGACGTTCAGAATTTCTGGACAGCTGAGGACGCTGTTGCTGTGATGTAATCTGGGAAGACTGTGTTCAGTTTAGGGGTTTCCTGTTCAAATTATGAATTTTAAATTTGCTCTCTGAAAATATGTTTTGAAGAAGTGTTGCTCATTACTGCCATGTGTACTCACACAACAACGAATCACCAGAAAACCAAAAATCTACGACAGGAAAACTTTTGGTGCTGAAGTAGCTGCAACATTAAAGGTTTCTGCCCGGAATGACATCACAGTTTAGCTCATGAATACGGCTATTGACATTAGCATAAAAACACAAAAGGCCCCACAAAAATGGCAACACGAAAAGTGAAAATAAGGTTAAATAGAACACCAGGATTTTCAAGGATTGCATTTTAAAAAATACACTGCATGACCCCTTTAAGCATCAGCATGATATTTTCTGCTATAGTAATCACAACTTTTAAACTGTTCAGCAGCATTATGAAATTGGGCCCAGGTATGTTATCTTGGGAATGAACTTGACAACTTTATTGTGACGTAAATCTACTCTCTTATTTTGGCAGTATTTTATCATAAAGGAATAAAAAAATAATCAAAAGAAATCTCTTGTTTTGAAAATATTTCTCTTGTTTCATCCAAAAATGCGATTTCAAGAATCGTTGTCATAAATGTCTTCAAACATCACCAGAGATAAAACCTCAGTTAAAAAGTTAAAAATACTCAACAAAGTCCTTTTGAAGGCCTGTCTTTTTAAAAAGTTTTCATTAATTATATTGTTTGCCAAACCAGGGTTGTTAATAAAGATATTGTGTACAGTTGTTGACAGTTGTTGAAACAAGTATTCTGTGTCATTTTCTTTGTTGTGCCAAACAGTCAGAATACACACTAAACTGTTTTGTTTTTGGACAAAATAGGTTTTAGGGTCATTGCCTTTCTCTATGCTGTTACACAGATATACATTAAATTTGTTTGCCTCTCCTTTTCCTTTTGTTTTGCTGTGTAGCAACTGATGTGACGGGCATTTCACCATCTGTAAGTGTAAATCTGGCGGTCTGCTTTGTGATTTTTATTGTTTTCATTCCCTTTCTCACTGATTGACTGGTGGATTGACCGACAGTTGTGACCTGAGCGTGTTATCGTATTGAATAAGCCTGCAGTGGCCATGAATGTGCTAATCTGACCCTATGTTTTGTTTGCTTTTAGTGCCCCCTTGAAACTTTTGTCGCCCACACTTTTAGCGCTAATTGCGCCATTATTATTAAGTCTCGGGTTGCAAGCTATTAATGTTATGAACTTTGACAAAAACATTATTTTGTAATTGTTCATATCTTGTCGCTTGTGACCTGATGGACTTGTGATTGACTTGTGATGGACTTGTGTTGACTTGTGATGGACTTGTGATTGACTTGTGATGGACTTGTGATTGACTTGTGATGGACTTGTGAGGGACTTGTGATTGACTTGTGATGGACTTGTGATGGACTTGTGATGGACTTGTGATGGACTTGTGATTGACTTGTGATGACTTGTGATTAACTTTTGATTTATCTCCTGTTGCTTGTGATCTAACTTGATCATAAATAATTGAATTGTGATTACCGGGTAACATGTGATTGACCTGTAATCTACGTGAGACTGCATTGACTTCTGGTTGATTAGTGATTGATTTGTGATTGTTTTGTGTTGTCTACCCACAACAAGGTTCAAAAGCCAGACATTGATAAGCGACCCAGTGATGGACCATCATCAACACCAGAGATTACTTCACCAGAGATTATTACACCACAGAATGGTCAGTAATGTGCTCAACATACAAGTCTGAAAAATTCTCTGTTCATTTAAATGGGCGTTAGGGCCTGAAATCCCTGAAAATTTCATGTTTTGGATTGTTTACTTATAAACTCAAAGGTCTGGTTGAAAGGAAACTAACCTAATGTGTCCCTGGTGCCCAGTGTGTCCCCCATCTGAGGATTCCCAGTGCCCCCGGGTGCCCACCCCCCCCCCCCACCCCCCACCACAAAGTCTGAAATTTGCCGCTTTCCCCGCAAATTCCCAGTGCCCCCCCCCCAGGTGCCCCCTCCCCACCACAAAGTCTAAAATTTGCCGCTTTCCCAGTGTCATTTTAAAGTAATTATTTTTGACTTCCCCTACTGTATGACTTTATGAAATGTTAATAAATTGATAAGCAAAAACAGCACCCTCTAGCATCAAAATAGGTCCAGCCCCCTCCCCCCTCCCCCCTCCCCCCTCCCCCGGCACCTCCCTCCTGCACCTCCCTCCTCACGCCCAACAAAGACAAGTCAGGGGTGTGAAATCTCCGCTATTTAGCGGATTTCCGCTTTTTTGTTCAGCGTGCCACATTTTGTTTTCCGCTTTTTTTCTTCCGATGGTCCAGATTTCCCCCCGCTTTTTCCCCCGCGCGTAAGCATTTATTTTATTTCTGTTTATTTTATTTTCCGCTGCCGCCGCCGAACGCACGCGATCCACTCTCTACAACATACACGTAGCTCTGGGATGGAGTGCGTGCAAGCGAGTATTCAATGTACATGTACATGTACATGTAGATGTACATGTACATTATACATACGTAGTACGTGTGTACTATACGATGCCATGTGCATGCATTTTTCAGCTCGAAGCCGCGTGTGTACACAACGTGTAAACAGCATCCGGGGAACCAACAGTCATTGCACTGTGATTGGCTGCAGATAAATATGAATATTCACACATACATTTGTACGCCATGAAGCGCGTTGGGACCCTTTGCGGCCGTTCTTGTGTCTATGCATGTAGTGACACGCGATGATCTCCACAATAACTCGCTGTAAACATCTTCTTGTTGCAAATATAAAGCCTTGAAATAAGACTAGTAAATTGTCGCCGTGCCGCGCCGGTAGAGGGCATCATGCGGGGCAAAGTTCATGTGTGCATTATCCTGCTGCGTATTCTGCTGCATATACAGTACGTTAGTGTGTCGTTTCAGATGTTTCGAACGTATTTTTACATTATTAATTCCGCAAGATGTTAGTGCAACACAAATGTGTTATTATCCAAAGAGGTTTGGAGTTTGATACGGACATTGACAAGACTGATCCTCAGGTTACGAATCCGTGGAAATGGATTTGGATGGAACACATGGTTAATGGGCAGAAATTAGGCGACTCGATCAGAAGCCGGGACTCGCGATGACGATGTGTATCATCTGCAGTAAGGAGTTAAAATATGGAAAACGTGGTCGAATTTCCCAGTTTTCATATACAAGTTTGCCATTTAGGCAGTTTCAAGCCAATATGAAGGAAAAGTTTACTTAAAAACATGCATAAATTGCAAAACATTTTCGACCAGTAGTTGGCCCAGGCATGCCAGGAGGCTTTAAAATGCACCACAGAGCATCTACATTTCAAAAAATTTTCGGGGCCCTTGGGCGGGCCCCGTACCCCACGCCGTAAGGGCTTCGCGCTTCGCGCTCGCAGGTTCGTTTATTTACAGGTTCAGCTATTTTCAATTATCTTTTTTTGACTCCACTCACACCCCTGACAAGTAACGATTCAGCCCTCTGTCGGCGGCCCGGCACTGACGTTACACAGCCCCCTCCGAGGACCGTTGTTCGTCCCTGAGCAAGGCGGCGCCTCCGCTGGGGTATACGCTTGGGTCTCCTGGTCTCCTCTGTGGTCTCCTCTGGGGTCACCTCTGGGGTCTCCTCTGGGTTTTCCTCTGGGTTCTCCGCTGGGATCACCTCTGGGATCACATCTGGGTTCTCCTCTGGGCCCACCTCGGGGTCTCCGCTCCATTGAGTCCCGTGCGGAGCAACTGCGCCGGCTCCTCTCCATTCCTTTCGTGGGGAGCAACTCCACGGCTCCACGCCATTGACTCCCGTGCGGAGAACCTCTACCGGCTCCGCTCCATCAACTCCCATATGGAGCAACTCCACTCTATTGACTACCATGCGGAGCAACTCCATCGATTCCCGTGCGGAGCAACTCCATCGGCTCTGCTCCATTGAATCCTGTGCGGAGCAACTCTACCGGCTCTGCTCCATTGATTCCCGTGCGGAGCAACTTCGCCGGCTCTGCTCCATTGAATCCTGTGCAGAGCAACTCTACCGGCTCCACTCCATTGAATCCCGTACAGAGCAACTCTACCGGCTCCGCTCCATTGAATCCCGTACAGAGCAACTCTACCAGCTCCGCTCCATTGAATCCCGTACAGAGCAACTCTACCGGCTCCGCTCCATTGAATCCCGTACAGAGCAACTCTACCGGCTCTGCTCCATTGATTCCCGTGCGAAGCAACTTCGTCGGCTCCGCTCCATTGAATCCCGTGCGGAGCAACTCTACCAGTTCCGCTCCATTGAATCCCGTGCGGAGCAACTCTACCGGGGAACACGCATCTGGCGCTTGTACATGCGCGGAACAGAGCTGTTTTCGAAGGGAAACGTGCGTCTGTTGTATGAATGCGTGTCACGGGGCTGCTCCGGAGGGAAATATGCATCCGGTGTATTGGTGTCTGTGGAACAGAGCTGTTCCGGAGGAAAACGTGTCCGTTGTATGAATGTGTGTGTAATGGGGCTTTTCCCATCGTGGGCCCTGGCACGTGTGTTGATGCGGGGCGTCTCCGGACGATCAAGAAAAATTCCAACTCAGAGTCATCCAACGTGACAAACGCTTTTGCTGGCCATCTCAGATACTAGGTTGGTCTACGCTCTGTGAGGCCCTGATCCAGGGTGCGTACCCACCGCGTGGCGAGTCGGACGCCAGACTAACTTGACCCGGTGTATTCATGGCGAAAAACACTCCAAATTCTACCTGTTTTTCCTCCATCAGACATGCCACGGCTGCCACCAATGTAACGTTGACCGAATTCTGGGTTGTCACACGCCAGATGAGGGAAACCACAGACACTATTCTTCAGGGTTTCAGGGCTCAATGGCCATTTATTCTTGCCACTTTCTTTACACGAGACTCTCTCTTTATACAACTCACAACAAAAAGGACGCTACACAAAATGTCACACTACTGAGTCGGCGCAGTCCGGCAATGGGTCTCCCTGGCCCAGCAGCAGGGGCCCCAACGCTACCTTTGCACCGTGGGTCCATGGTGGCGCCCTCTGCCGGCGGCCCGGCACTGACGTTACACAGTCCCCTCACGAGGCTCTCTCTTTATACGACTCACAACAAAAAGGACGCTACACAAAATGTCACACTACTGAGTCGGCGCAGTCCGGCAATGGGTCTCCCTGGCCCAGCAGCAGGGGCCCCAACGCTACCTTTGCACCGTGGGTCCGTGCTGGCACCCTCTGCCGGCGGCCCGGCAATACTTTGGACATACAATACTTTGGACATATCTTCAGCTGTGATGGGATCTCACCTGATCCAAAGAAGGTTCAAGCTATCCAAGATGTGTCTGAGCCTCAAAATGACTAGTCACTTCTTGCAGTCGTTTTATCCCTGACCTAGCTACCATCTCCGCACCCCTAGGGAAGTGACCAAATAGACTCAGTCCCTTGGTCATGGGGTCCCGAACAAAAGCAGGCTCTCGAGCAAGGTTTTATAACCTTGTCCACGGATCACAATAATGGTATAATTTCAGCAAAACAAAAACTATTCCCATATATTCACCATGATTACTGGCACTTATCATAACATTTCAAAACCTGCTGCTTCCAATGTTACAATAACATGGTTTACAATATCAAGAGTTTATAGTCCTGTCCTGCCTTCTACTTGGCTACTTCGGAGACTTATGGCATTATTCTGATATCATTTTCAGGATATGACTGGTTTCATTTTTTTATTAAAATATCACGTACCTTAAATGTGATCCGTGGACAAGGTTACAAAAAACGGTGTTTGTGTTAAAAATCCCATCACTGGGAAAGTACATGAGCGATTTGAATGATTCATTCACGAAAAGAAAGCTTATTAATTGGGCTTTCATGTTCTAGATCTGGAAAAGGCCACATGCAGATCTTCTTTATAAAAAAAAAGGGGGGGGGCACCATTTTGGTTTTCCTTTTTTGGACTCACCCTGTAGTGGACACTACACGCACTCCACTGCAAATGTCGCCGCTTCCCAACAGTCCATGGTTGGAGGTCCGTGTTGACTTCTGCAACCTTCAACCATGAACACATCCTGGTCGTCATTGATGACTACAGCAGGTTTCCAGAGATTGAAATTGTCTCATCCTCATCAGCTCGCGCATTCCTCCCTAAACTCGATCGCAACGTCGATCGGTGTGCCTCAAGTCAATCGTGGAGAGTTCTCCAACTTTGCGGACTACCTATAGGCTTCAAACACCACAAATAGTCACGCCACAGTGGCCATGCGCAAATGGAGAGGTTGAGCGGTCATTTAAACTCTAAAGAAAACGTATCGCACCGCCATTGCTAACCATAAGCCATGGAAGCAAAGCCTCTTCAGTTCCCCAGCAACTACCTTCCCCGTATGAGACAGGTACACCTTCAGGTACAGGTACACCTTCTGCAACACTTCTCTTCGGTAGAGCAATGGGGACTCGCCTTCCGGGGACTACATGCACAATTCCAAGCCCCAGTGCCAAACACAAAGACAAACATTGAAAGGCTGCCATGAAGGCATACTCGGACAAGCATGAACATGCCAAACACACAAAAATAACAGTGGGTGACACTGTTCTCATCCGCCGCAATGGTATGGTTGCAAAAGACCAAACACTATATCACCTTCAACCCTACACCGCCACCGACACGCTCGACGCGGGTCTCACAGAGGGCTCGCAACATTTCTCGCTTCAAGCGCATCAATGATCAACCTCAACCATCACATGACTCAGATGAGTCTGACCTGGATGACATGTCTGATACACCTACCCAAACACCCAATCAAGCACCACGCAGAAACCCACCTCGAGCACGCCACCCACCAGCGCGTTTCAAAGACTATACTGTGAAATGTGCCCTTGATCATATGGTTTGAACAGCACCCCCATATGAGGATAATGTCCATGTGCCAGCCAGCCAGTTCCCACCCCCCCTCCATTTTTCATTTTTAAGGAGGCCAGGTGACCAGTAAAAACACCTTGTATACATTTCAGCACTGATGGGTGAGTGCCCATTTCATATCTACCCCCACCCCACCCACAAACTCTCCCAGCCCCACCCCCACCTCCAAACTGTCACCCAAACCCCCACCCAAACCCCCACCCAACACCAGTGGCGTCACCAAGGGGGGGGGGGGGCAGGGGGGGCACGTGCCCCCCCCCCCCGGAAAACCTAGTGCCCCCCCCCCCGAGTGCCCCCCCCCATCAAATGCTGGTGCCCCCCTATCCTCTGCAAAATTCTGCGCGTTGTTAAAATCATTACCTCAAAAATAGCAATTTCTTGAGATATCTTCAGATCGAATTTAGCATCAAATGTGGCACCATTTTGCATCTAGCCCATCCTCCGTATGCGAAAATTTTCCAAAGGGGAGGGGGGCACCCCCTCCCCTTAGACCCCTCCCCCAGGCGGCGATCCGTGCCCCCCCCCCCATCAAATGCTGGTGCCCCCCCTGTGCCCCCCAGACTGAAAAGTCTGGTGACGCCACTGCCCAACACCACCTCCACAAAATAAAATTAAATGACCTAAGCTTGCTACGCCACTACCTTAGGATTTTACACCCATGACAACCAAAGATATTTACTCGCAGTAACTGCTGGTGTCCCCCCTGTGCCCCCCAGACTGAAAAGTCTGGTGACGCCACTGCCCAACACCACCTCCACAAAATAAAATTAAATGACCTAAGCTTGCTACGCCACTACCTTAGGATTTTACACCCATGACAACCAAAGATATTTACTCGCAGTAACAGCGATTAGTAATTGTTTTCTCCTTTTTCTTTTTGAAATTGCTCTTTAGGACAAACATCACCACTTCCGAGATTCGAACAAGTGCTACTTTGCATCTGCGTAGGATTTCTTTTTCTAATTTTTTGCCTGATTTTGGCATTCATTTTGGTCTACTACATTAAGCGCTCTAGAAGAGAAACAGAAAGACAGCCATTGCAAAGACCACTCCAAGAGTATCCAAAAAAGAACCTGACAGAGGATTGTAGGCCACGTGATCCAGAAAGGGGAGATGGAGGAGGTAAGGGTAGGCTATGTAGCTATACCCCTTTCAGACTGGCATACATTCTAGAGGGGTGCGAGGCCAACATTTATTTAAAACCACTCAAGTTGACCTAAAGTATTTTTGGTTTCGGTTAACTTTATGTAGCTAGTATTCCCATTGACTGTTCTAAAGACTGCAACAGTTGTTCTTGCGCTTGTAATTACTTTGTATCATTTCGAACATTGAGCTTGATTCTAATCTTCAGAATTTTTTTTTAGGCTAACTGGACGTGGATAATAGCCTGAGCTGAAGGCAGGGGTCATTTTCCACGACCAGGCACCTAGCTGATTGTAAATGTACTTGTTTAAAGGGGTAGTGTCCTGAAATCGCAGATTTTTGTGGCTTTTCCGCAAACTTGCGGAAAAGCCTTTGTTTTTGTTCTGATTCTTTCTTCTTCCTCTTCTTCTTGTTCCACTCCGAAATCCCATAGACTGTGAACTCGATTTTTTTGTCCCAGCCACTTTGGGCATTCAACTTTGTCAACATCATTCAAAGTAAGGAGATGCATATTTAGCAAAGTCGTGTCCCGAAGAGTGATGTCATGATGACATCGTCATGGGTCATGTGACATCATCTTAAAGGTGCATATTTTAAAGGCCTTTATTTTCTGAAGGCCTAGAACTTTAAGTCCAATTGGGGTGAAACTTGGTATGTAGGTAGACCGGGATGTGTCATAGGTAAAAATTGAGGCAACGTTATGATGATGTCATCGAGTGATTTTATATGGATTTTTAAATTTTTTGACCTTTAAGCCATATCTCATCAACAGAACAAACTAAATTCAAAATTCTTTTTGTAATGGGTGTGTTAGGTCATGCGTATTTGCACAAAAATGTGAAAAGTGTGTGACGTCATGATGACATCATAAAAAAGCAAGTCCTTAAGTCACATATAATGCAGTCTGATTGTCTTGAAACTTGTTGGGTAGGTAGATACTGTTACTAGTATACAAAATCAGAAGTAATGTCATGATGATGTCAACTGATTTTTAATTGTTTTTCACCTTTTTACATTTTTCTTCTACAAGCAAAATATGACATAAAATGCAATCTGATTGACTTCAAACTAGGCACAGACAAAGACCCCAAGATTCAGTTGGCCCCAGACAAGTGATGTCATATGTCATCGATGGTCATGTGATATCATCTTAAAGGTGTATATTTTAAGATTTTATATCCAGAGAACTATACGTTGGATTGGGTTGGAACTTCATATGTACATTGACAGGGACATGTTAAAGACAGAAATTGGAGTGACGTCATGACATCATCATGCGTCAGACGTCATCTTATAGGTGCATATTTTAAAGCCTTATATCTTGAGAACTTAGTCTTGGAAGTATGCTCTTGCGTACAATTTACCAAATGCATATAGACAAAATAAACATGAACTTTAAAAATATAAAATGAGGAAAAGCCCTATGTTCTGTTCATCGAACAGACATATTTCTAGTTTATTTTTAAGATGGGTTACTTAAATCCTATTTCAAAAGTGTAGTTGAAAGGAAACTAACCTAATATCTCACTGTTCCTGAGAAAAGATAAAAAAAAAGAAAAAAATTGTGGCAAACACATACGTATTTCCAGCCGTAAAAATATAAGTCTCCTTCTACCCCAGCTTCTGTGTCTATGATTTCAGACCATTTATAACCATATGTGTGAAGGTCTCCGACCAATAGGAATTAGTAAACTTGTCTGTTTATTTAAGTGTCATTTTATCTTGGTATAAGGGCATGTGCTTAAACCATGTGGAAGAATCTCTTTTGAGAAGGGTGGCTCTGAAAAGAAAGAAAGTTGGTTGCAAACTCGATGTTCGGATTAGTACATTCAGAATCTCCAGGTTTGTCTCCTTTATGTCTTGAGGTTTTTTCTCAGGTTTAATATCTTAGTCATTTTATCCATCGGTTGTAAAACTTATTAATTCACAGTGGACAGGAATTCGAAGAATAGAACATCACAAGATCCGGATCCGGCAACAAGGTTAATTTCATTCAACATATTTAGTAGTGAATTATCAACTTTTACTAAAGGCAAGGTTTTCCTAGTTTCTGTAAGATCATTTTAGACACTCTGCCATTGACCATCCGATATTGAGCATCCTTGATAGACCCTTTGCATTTCAGCTGTAAGTCTCCGGTTTCTGGTATGCGTGCGCGTCGCCGTAGCCATGCACGTCGGCAAAAGGAAAAAAAAAAATTTCAATAAAAGATGATGACTCAAAACCGCCAAACTCACTGGTTCGACTGGAATCCTGCTGCTGCACAATTTTAATGTGTTTTTAGATGGGGTTATGATGGAGAATAAGCTTTATGTGGCCTCTCTGGACTCCCATATATATTTGCACGAAGTTTAGTCGGGCACCATTTGTCAGCCGACATTTGAAGCAAAAAAAAACAGGTAAAAAAAAAGAAGCCGCGTCGCCGCACCACTTTTTGGGCAAGCTCCATACCAGAAACCGGAGACTTTTTTTTTTGGCCTTAGTGAGGTACATGTTTTCATTCCACGGAGATATGCATGAGTAGATGTTGTGTGTTACAGAATTAAAACAACAATCTCAAATTGATGGCTTAATGCAAAGGATCAATGGTTTCTCACCACAATAACACTGTGAAGCCCCCAAATCTAGAATTAAGAGAAATTTAATTCATGGGTATTAAATTAAAGGCATAGGCCTATAGGATTAATTGCTTTTCATGCATTTGGTTCGTTTCCAATAACAACACACATCAAAATCCAAAGAAGAATGTTCCAAACCTAACCTGTTGAAATTTCAACTCAGTGAATATTACACTTTCCATGCGCAACCTTTTGATTGTCAAACACAATTTTGTCCATATGGCTCTTTTTATTTTCAAAAATCAGTCAATTGACTGATCATTGGAAATCGTGTACATTTCTTGATTTTTCTCTGAATGATAGCAGTGGACTGATTTCAAGGGGCTGTTTTTTAAATAATAATGTGGTTGGTTACTTTTTGGATAAATGCAAATCATCTATTATTTATAATATTTCCAATTTTTTTCTCGAAAACATGCCCTTGTAAATTTCTCTAAACAGTGTTGTGACTTGCCAACGTTGTGGAGTGACAGTGCCAGGTGTCAGAGCTGTGCCAGAGAATGAGGCCTTGGGAGGACATAGTGAGACACCTGAAGAATCGGAAGTAGAACCAGGTGCATGCGCTACTCCAAATGGAGCAGCTGCTTACGACCAGCCCCAAAATCAAGACTCGTCTCAGAAGGCTACAACTGAAATGAACATCAGTGTTGTTGGACATAAAAATACGATATTCATCTCCACTGCAGATGATCATCAGTGCCACGTGAATGACAGCTTCAACAGCAGTGACTGTGACACTGGTAATTCTTGTGTAAAAGCTAGTTCGCCTTACAATTTTGCCAACCCTTGCATTTTATGAAGACTTTTATATGAGAAACTTGTTGAGAACCTTAATGCATTGTGGAAATTGGCTTTAAAAAAACCCTGAAAACAAAATAAACAAGGAAAAGTATACTACGACAATGTTGATTTTCAACTGCTTGTTCGATGATCAGAATATGTGAGCATTTGTTTTTATAACCCTAAAAGGGCCGGGTTATTTTGACCATCTTTCGGCTGGGGTGGGGGGAGGGATCTCGGCCATCAAGTGCCAAAAAATTATGTTACTCTGTAAATGCATAGAACAACTTATCATGAACATACCCCAGACATTTCATGACTATAGGTTAAAGGGTTTTGGAATAACATGTATGTTTTTTAATTATCCATATGCACGAATGGTCATTCTGCTTTGTGTACACTGCGTATCTGTGGAAATTCAGTTTTCACGGCACATAGCGCTGGAAAAATTTTATGTAGCAGTCACTTTAGTGCACATACATGTAGTTGAAATATTTTCTAAGATAAGCGGGAATTTTTGAAAATCAAGTTTTGTTTAATCTGATTTCCATCTGTTATGCTTTTTTTCAGTGAGCGAGTGAGAGAAATTTACCGGCCGTCAAATTTCTGATCAATGATCTGTAGAATTCATCTTGGATATCTTGTGAGGGACACTTGCACTTTAAGACTGGTAATATGTACTTACCCTTATATTTTCATATTCTCTGTTTCTAGGAAAATACAACTACACAAACTGAAATCAATATAATGTACATAGAATCGATAGGCCCAGAATTGCCTACACAGACAAAATCACGATTTGTTTGCCCTCAATTTCTTTACTATTAGAGCATTTTGTGGGCCATGAACTTGAAGGTTTGTTAAAAAAAAATGTGTGTCAGCCATGCACAGGATCAGAGGGCAAGCTCATATTTCTATGAAATTCACATGAAATTGGGCCCTAAAATTGTTCTATTTTGCAATGGAGCGCAGGCATACATGTACGCGTAATTATCACAGAGGTATATGACAGGCTATTATTTATCAGGTCTGCACCATTATGCTGATTCACTAAGTAAATAATTCACAGTACTATGCAAAAGTTTTCAATTGAATTCGTAAGTCTTTCATTGTTAAATACAGAATGTATATTTTTGAAATAGTTCTTATATTTTGGGTTTGGGCATTGGATATACAGATTTATTCAATACATCCTAAAAAAATGTCAGCTTAGGCCAAAAAAAAAAATAAGTCGGTCTCTGATCAGCACGCGCGTTGATTTTAGTCACGCGCGTCAATCCTTTTTTTTCTTCAAAATGTTCCGCGGTAGCTCCAACAGCGCCCTCTATTGCCGCACCTCCTCAATTTTTTTTACCAAAGAGCACCAAGGAATGGGAAATTGCACCAAGGCAAATGATCGAGAGCACCAAGGCAAACTATGGAGGACACCAATGTACATTAGGACACCAAAAAAGCAAAATAGTACCCCACCTTGTCTGTACAATCCAAACTTGAAAAAAAAAAAAAAAAAGCCACGTCGCCCCCCACCCGGTTTTGTTGTTATTTCACAAATATTTAAGAGGGTACTCTTAAGGGATATGCTGTTATTATACTAGGATTGTGGGGACCACCGAATGATTTGTTATTTCACAAATATTTAAGAGGGTACTCTTAAGGGATATGCTGTTATTATACTAGGATTGTGGGGACCACCGAATGAAACTCAAAACATTCATTATTATTCATGCACAGTACTATGCAAAAGTGTTCAATCCCTTCCAATTTATATGATGCAGGGAAAACTCAAAGGGATATGAATTAAAATCTTTCATTGTTAAATGTAAAAGGTCCTTTTTTGCAAATCTTCGAAAATTCTCTCTGAAATTGTGCAAAATTTATAATCATGTCCGTTGCATTTCATAGCTAGTTTTTTTGGAGGTATAATATTTGTATATTTAAGGAAGTTCGAAAGGATAAAGGTATACTAATTGTAGTTGTTAAACAGTCCTGAACATTCTGATCTTGTATTTTGTCTATGTTCTAGATTAGTCTACGTAAAGTTAGATGCAGATCTTAAAAGATGTGAAACTAGTATGATAAAAGTATTATTATGTACCACAATGCTAGCTTTTTATTATTTTTTTTAAAGCGAAAAGTAGTATCAAGCTTAGAGTTGTTTTTCTTAATGTAAGTATCATTCAACCAAAAGCAGAAAATTTAACATCTAAACATATTTGTTACAGTATCTCATTGAATGCTTCATTAAAGGGAACATACAACAATTGCAAACATCAGAAAAACAAACCTACAAAAGGCCTTACTGGGACTGTTGGTGATTGACAGTCTAAAGCATCCTGTACAATCATGGCACCTGGTGTGCTGACATTTTCAAGAAAAGTGGTATGTTTGTATCAGTTTCCAATGCTGGTTGGCCGACAAGCGTTGGGAAAAAAATTGACTTTTTTAAATACTGCCCCCAATTCACCATATTTCGTTTTAGACCACATTTTGTTTGCAATCGATTACACACCTATGAACGGGTACAAGCTAGTTAGACTGGTTCCCCAACGTTACATTTCCCTGACGTTTATTGCTCCGTTTCATCTTAAGATGGAGTCAGGGAACCAGACTACAGGAACAATGTTCCAGCCCCCCCCCCCCCCCAGGCAGAGTGACCTTTGCTCCTTTATGAGAACCAATTATAGGATAAGTGCTGGTAAATATCTGAATCCCCTAGGGCAGGCTCCCAAAAATGGTGTGTCCCAACCCAAGTGGCCTATACAGTTGGTCGGGTTGGTCTTAAGAGGAGTGTTGACATCATAATTGTTACTTTAAAAACTAGACAACTTTTTGTGTCGTCAGACATTAAAAAGTTCAGTTAGGGTTGAACCTCGTCTTTAGAATGTCACCCTGATCATGTCATTACATTCACGGTTGACTGAGCAGTGAACAAGAGAATTGCCCCACTTTTCATTTGTGGTTTTTGTGGTGTCATTGTCACAGAGTGAAAGGCTATGGTTGCACATCAAGGCAGATGGGGGAAAAAGAAACCTCTAAAAAGCCTCTAAAAAGCACTCTCATATTTGAGTGCTTCATTAACTCATCAATTTATGCAAATGACAGGGTACTCGGTTTTCATAAGAATTAAATAAAATTCATAATCACCTGACCTCTGATATATTTCTTCCTTAACGTCAAAACAGTTATATTTTTAACAGTACACTGCATTTAGTCTTTTATATTTGTTTACTTGAACTTTTTCAAAAAGAAATACTTTTATTGTTAATTGCTTAAATATGTATGTATATGCTTTTTATATATTTTAAAGATTTTTTTATAGAAATAATAATGTAGTATTACCTTGCTGAAATTCGCAAAATATAAAGGTATGCTTGTTTTGCTGCGGCCCTATTTTGGTAAAATGATGTAAGTCGATTTTTGGGCGATTTTGAGTTAGAGTCAAATCCCGGTAAAGTGAGGGCGCTGTTTCCGATTCAGAAAATATTAGAGTCAAGAAATGAAGCGCTTAAAAGATATTACATGTATCTCACCGTGGAAAACTTAACTAGTGCAGCTGTTTTTTTGAAAAATAATGCAAGTTTGACATACGTGACATATATCTGTGTTTGCAAATCTCACAAACAAGGTAAAATGGTGTATCTTTTACTTACAGCATTTTTGGTAATTAAAGTCTCGTTAATTGTTTGTGCATGTCAGACATACACCATTTTACCAAAATAGCACTTTTGGTTTGAATTCATGCATATCCCATTTGTTTCCCCAGATATGTAAGTAAATTGGGGAAAGTCATTTGCATTATTTTCATCATAAACGAAATTACCCTTTCACAGGCTTAAATGCAGACTGTTTCGTTTTTAAGTCTCTTCAAATGATATGTACACACATACATTATTACTGCGTAACAAATCCAAGCTTTCCATTGGAAGTCTTTTTTAGTAAAATGATGTATCTTCCAAAAACATTTTATATTTCTAGAAATATCCACGAAATTTAGTGAATTATGTAAGAAAACAAAATATTGGTTGCCTAGACATCAGAAAATGACTGCTTCACAGTCTTGAAGACCTAAAGACCAAAACGGCAACATTTCACTCTTTAAATCACTTTTTCTCAAAATGTCCTTCAAGTGAGATACATCATTTTACCAAAATAGGGCCGTTCAGATTGCAGCAGCTGCAATCTGGAACGTAATATGTGTTACAGATTTACTCTGTGTAAAAATATAGATGTAGATCAAAATAATGCAATATTATACATGCAATGTATATTGGGGTAATAATATATAGCATTATGGGGTACATTTTGTATTTTTTATAACCATAAGGCCAAAAAAAAGTCTTTGGTTTCTGGTATGCGCGCGCGTCGCCGTAGCCATGCGCGTCGGCAAAATGCAAAAGTGTTTTTTTCAATGAAAGATGATGTCTCAAAACCGCCAAACTCACTGGCTTGACTGGAATTCTGCTGCTGCGCAATTTCAACGTGTTTTTAGATGGGTTTATGATTGAGAATAAGCTTTATGTGGCCTCTCTGGACTCCCATATATTTGCACTAAGTTTAGTCGGTCACCATTTGCAGTCATCAGCCGACATTTGAAGCAAAAAAGTTGGGTAAAAAAAAAAAAGCCACGTCGCCGCACCGCTTTTTGGAGAAGCTCCATACCAGAAACCGGAGACCTTTTTTTTGGCCTAATGATAGCTGCTTCTTTTTAGAAAAGTAATAGTTTATGTAATGTAATTATTTTAAACAGGGTGTAAGGGATCTTTGGACTTATAGTTGGACAATTATGTGACCCTCCAGCACGGGATTCAAGGCCACATTTTGAGGTGCAATCGACTCTTGTTAACACGACCTTGCCAACTGTTTGTTAGTGGAGTCATCATTCATCATTTCCGTTTAACTTCCATTTTTCCCCACACTGCGGGGTGCCAGTGAGAGGTTGTCTTTCCTTAATGGCCCTGTTCCATGCAGTCTAGATTTCTGACATCCATTGGCGACAGGGGTGTAAAATCTTAGCTTTAAAGCTGATTTCAGCTTTTGTTTTGTTTTAGATTTCAGCTTTTCTTTCAGCTTTTTACCTCACTTGCTGTGTACAAAAGTATGGGAGATTTCCAAAGTTCAGCTTCTTTACACATATTTCAGCTGTTTTCAGCTATTTTTATCAGTGGTCACTCTCATCCCTGTGGCGAGAGGTCTTCTGCCAGTGTCTCATCACAGGTCTTCCGTGGCCTGCCTCGTGCTCTCGGACTGACTATTTCAAAGTTCCATGCTTTCTTCAGGCGATGGCTTTCCGCCCTCGTTGCTTTCCTTCTCAGTGCAAGCCTGACCTCGTCCGTGTTATCTTTATCAGACACATGGACTGCAGTGCCGGTCCCATTCATTGCGCACATATAACCATGGCCTTTCATGTTTGCTAGAACCGGAATTTGTATTAACAGTTTGCATATTATACATAACGAGAGTCGACTGTAGGCCTACATTAATATTGTACAGACAAAACAAAAATACATAGAAAAACTACGCTATAATGAATATATTTCTCTGCCAATGAAGTGAATTTATAGTAGGACTAGTTAATTTCAAGAGGTTTCTCGAATTTAAAAAAAAGTTTCCGAGGTCCGTTATTTGCAAACTGAAAATACTTATAACTCCATCCGATTTTCTCCGATTCCCATATTCTATAAATAATTGAAAAGCTTATTCAGTGCCCCAAATCCACGTTTTCAAAAAGTGGTCCAAGTGAATAGTTTTGTACGTGCTGGAGAGTCGCATAACGGTCACTTCTTTTTTTCATGCAGCTGGTGTTGTTGTATTATGGCAATATTAATGATTGTTTTGGTTTTCAAATGGTTTTAATGTAAAAACCACAAGGGAAGATGTTTTATTACTCAACTATGCAAGTATCGCCTTCTAATTATTATTCAAAATGCTAATTTGTATGTGTATGGAGTTGTACTGTTACATCTGACGTCAACGCTTTTCTGATGCACTCCTCATCAATGTAGCTTGAGTAACTCCAGCTCCAATGCTCATCAGGAATTCGACATATAGAGCTGGAACAAAAACTACGTTGTAGATACTACTGAGATTCTGAGAGGCCCTATCTGTATCACGAAAATGGTCCTTTTTTCCTCTAGTTTCCCAACTCAGATTCCATTAAACATAATGAGGTATGTAAAATGGAATCTGGGTTGGGATTAATAGAGGAAAAAGGATCATTTTTGTGATTCAGATACAGAGAGTCCCGTGTTTTTTTTAGGGCCTCTTAGAATCTAGGATCTACAGTAGCTCTACTGAGTGGAGCGTAATTACGGGTACCCCTTTGTATGGAGGGGTACCCGTAATTCAACGCTCCACTCAGTAGAGCTAGATCTACAGCATAGTTTTAGCTCCAGCTCTATATGTCGAAATCCTGATGAGGATTGGAGCCAGCTACTGGAGGACGACTGCATGGGATAGTAACTCCGGCTCCAATCCTCATCAGGAATTCGACATATAGAGCCGGAGCTAAAACTATGCTGGAGATCCTAGATTCTAAGAGGCCCTAAAAAAATGGGACTCTCTGTATCTGAATCACAAAAATGGACGCTATTTATAGTTGACGTTATTTCCAGAATTACAGTAAATTATGTGTGCAACAAATTAACATGACATTTCAAAATATATTTTTAAGTAAATCATTATTTAAACAGTGCAAACCGAAAAAAAGTTGAGTTGGTTTCATTATCTTTGCTTGTTAGGCGTGGACGCGATTTGGTTGCAGTGATCTTTTAGCCATCGATCATCGCGTGTGACGTCGGATTACCATTCAATGGAACATAAATATGCGAGACAAGACGTCAAGTTAGGTTTTTGATTGGTTGGAAGTCTTGATTTGCATTCTTGATTTGCATACTGCATACAGCATGTTATGGATATGCATCGTTGCATAAATCGGCAGCAATCTTAGGGGTGTGTCTTGTTATGTTAATTTGTTATGATTGCATGAGAGATGCGTGTGCACAAAAGCACACACCTCCAAAATGGCTGCAGTGCAACCATCTACATGTATTTCTGCCCGATCCGCATCTTATGTGGAATTCATTTTGCCTTCGAGAAAGATTCTTCTAGAATCAAAAATTCAGGCTCTAATTTTGTGACTGAAAACATGAAAAGAAAACTAAGAATAATTCTCTAGTGAGGTAATGTCGGCAGTTTATTAGGCAAAAAAAAAAATAGGCCTACTCAGTCTCTGGTCAGCGCGCGCGTCGATTTTAATCATGCGCGTCAACCTTTTTTTTCTTCAGATTAACACGGAAGCTACAACAGCGCCCTCTTATTGCCACACCTCAAATTTTTGTACCAAGGAGCACCAAGGAATGGGGAAATTGCACCGAGGCAAATGATAAAGGGGCACCAAGGCAAATTATGGAGGACACCAATGTATAATGAGTACACAAAAAAGCAAAATAGTACCCACCTTGTCTGTACAATTCAAGCTTGAAAAAAAAAAAGCCACCAAAAAAAAAAAAAAAAAAAAACCGCGTCGCCGCATCAATTCCGGAACTTCGGTCTGACCAGAGACCGACTTTTTTTTTTGGCCTTAACTATAATACACCAACAATCAGAATACGGGTTACCATGGCTACATAGACGTCAGTCCGGGAAAAAGGAACAAAGAACACGCTAAAATCCTTGGACCATAACTTGTTTCGTTCTGTTGTGGGTTTTTTTTTGTGTGTGTGCAAAAGTTGTGGTTTTTACGAAAGTATGCTCTCAAGGGTGGGCTGTTCTAAGAGTTTGCTTAGAAATTTGTCTTTGGCAACTTTGGGTAACCAATTATTTAAATTCAGCAATCTCTTTCTTTCTTTGCTGAGTTATAACTTTCACTTTTGGCACCCAGCTTCCCAAATATGGCGATCATTTGAGTGATTTCTTATTTTTAGACAACGACGTCATGCTTGGAAGTTATACGGGATGTCCCCTTCGCTTTATGTTCACCCAAGCGTGGGGATTACAGTACCATGGCTGTATGGCTCTAGTCTGTGGTGTGATCAGTTACTGACCAATCGTTACAGATTGAAATTGAACTATTAAGTACATGTAGCCTTGAAACAGAAATAGCACCAGTTGTCATGCAGTGTGATATAGTTCACGCTACAAGGAGAGCCAGAAATACGGTATTACCAACTTCATACGCTGTCCATGACATATTTAATGGGCCATTCAGTGGCACGACAACTTCGGCCAGACACCTTTCCGGTTTTTTTTAACCATGTGATGAAGACTCTTCACCAGACTTGGAGCTACATTTTACTCTACAGGGTGAGTTAAAAAAAGAAACCCAAATGGCCGGACCAATATTTCAATGAAGTTTTGCCTGTGGGCACTATTAAAATCTAGGATATGAAAACCTAGTCAGTGAGTTATTTTTTAGTATAAGAATCATTTCAGACCCCTCGTGTACTTTTCAAGTTGCGGAATTTTGAACACAAACTCCGTTTTAAAGTTCAGTCCACGGATCACAAAAAAAAGGTAGGTGTTCTTTCAGCAAAAGTAACTCGCATGCATCCCCATGAGAATTGTTTTCGTCAAAATGGTTCTGCGCCAATCATAGGAAAGCTTTGACCTTCTGTTTACATGAATATATTTATTTATTCGTCGCACGAATGCTGCTTTACGACTTTGTTTACTATTCTTTTCTTCCTTAGATTCACAAAGAGGGTGATAACGATCGGAAATGGAGGCACTTCGTGTTAATGACGTACACGTGAAAAGTAAGCGAGCTATCTTATGACAGCAAGTTATGCAAAACTTTGCAGCATTTAAATAAACACAATATTTTATGGAAACAGATTTTAAGAGAGGTTTAGAACCTTTGTTTATCCTTGCGGAATCTTAAAAGTAAAAACGAGATAACAAGGAATTATGAATGCATATTCCTGTTTGGAATGTGATGAGCTTTTTTTGCTTAACTATACATTTCTTAATCCATTTTATAACATTTTATCTTTCTTTTTTTCTTCAAATTAATCCAACAGTTGTCATCATCTTCATCATATCTGGCCTGGTGTTTGTGTGTCGTCGTGTCAACAGATATTTCAAACGACAGCGACATGTGCTGGTGATGTTGGAACAGCAGTCACGTGACAATCACCATGACAATCGCCATGACAACAATGGAGGTGACTCTGATAAGGAGTTCCCTGTGACTCAAATAACTCAAACAACTGAGTCCGATTTGGGGAGTTATGAGCAAGACCAGGAACCTGGAACCATGGGTGCATTCTTCATTGGGACCTTATTTGACGTTGCAACTTACATGGCCGCAATCTTGAGCGCTGTGTACGTTGCAGCTTTTGCTGTTGTGTTAGTTGCTGTTCCTTCTGTTGCAATCGCTGGGACGTATGTGGTTACTTCTGCTGTTGTTGCTACTTGTCTTGCTGTTGGTATTTTTAAAGTATTTGTTGGAAAAGTTGGCAACACACAGTCGGCTTCTTGTGAAAATTTGACATCTGCTAGTGGTAGTTCTAGTGATGTTTCAGATACAAACCATCACAATAATTATCGGTATTTTGATGTCTCCATGATCACCGAAAATCATGAGGAGGAAGTCATGCTGGGGACTTCACTCCATATTAAAGAGAATTCCCTTTTCCGCACCTCTCTTGGTTTTGTTGCAATTTTTGTTGCCAGGTGTCCGAATATCGTTGTGATTGCTATGGCTACTGTTACGTACACCTCCATCATTGCTGTGCTGATTGCTGTTGTTGCAATGAACGTTGGAAAAGTGGCAGCAAGATTCAATTTTTCCCAACTTGGTTTGGTACGAAATAGCAGCCAACTGGAGTCTATGCGCGAGATGAAACTACATCTGGGTACTGGACTGGGTTGTTGCGTTGTTGTCGCGGTTGTTGTGGGTGCTTATTTTCCCAAAACGGTCATTGCAACTTCTGTGGTTGTTTCCGCTGTTGTTGCGTCCTCCGTGATTGTCTCCATAACTGTTATGGGGAGGCCGGAAACAGACCACGAAACCACCGTGCGGGAACGGGGAATTCACAGTGAGCACCAAAACAATGCTGGCTTTCCCCATAGGAGAGAAAGTGGACTAGAACTCAGAAGATTCGCATCAACTATTCTGATTGATGGTAACCATAGCGTCCGTATTGAAGGAAATATCAATAACTTTGTGAATATTCAAAATATGGAAAGCAGCACTTTGAACTTCGACCGTGTCGTGTCAAACGATAACAGTTATTAATCCGCCAATTAGTTTCCTTCAAATATTGGAACCATAACTGTTACAAATGCAAGGGGACGTCTTAATAAGGGAATAACAGTGTGAGGAGCCGGTCTTCACTGCGTGATAATGACCGTGTTGGGGTGACCGCTGTTAATGGACCAATCAGAAACCATCAACTCTCCAAGGTATTTATTAATGTAATATAACTGTACAGATGGATGCTTCATTGTAGAGTAATTGTTATAGACGATCTTGGTTCAATACTTCTACGCTGACTTTTTTCAATATTAACGTTTAACCTTCGCACCCATACGTTGCTAAGTAAGTTCGCAATGTGAATTATATTCACTGACTAAATTGAGTAAAATTCATGGCGTTGTCAAAAATAGAGCAATAGAGGAACAACTTTTAAAATATTGAAGAGTATGAGAATGAACAGGATTACTGTACTTATACATATCTGTAAATAAGTCACAATATTGAAATTGTTATTTTTGAACAGACTTATTTCTTTGAAACACTCCATTGGAAATAGATACATTTAATGTTTAAAACAATAACTTTAAAGAAAAGTGGAAATCAACCTGTTACCTTCAGACAATTGCACAAGTGAAGAGCTCATTTTGCAAAAACACTTATATGAAAATGATCAATTTTTCACCTTTTGAGAAAATTCGCTTTAAAACAAAACAGAGACCGTTACTTGTGCACAAACTGGGACTGCCCATTAGGCCTACATCATATCGAACTCTTGTCTATTTGTATTTGAAAAATGATTTTAGGTGTTCATGCAAAAATATTAAGTTGGTGGGTTTCTCAAATTTTTTAAAATTGGCTTTTATCTGCTTTTTTCAACTGAGCTCTTCGAATGCTTTGCCTAATTTAATTACATATGAAAAACTTAGTTCAGAAACTGCTTCATATAATTGTTAAAATGTAAATTATTAATATACACAGCAATGTAACGAGGTGGTGTAAATAGCAAATGGTCATTCCACTTGAAGAATTTCAAATTAGCATTGAAAGCGAGGCTAATAATGCTCCCTTTAGGGGATAAGAGTTGAAGGTGAAAGGTTCTCAATGTCCTACAATGGCTTAGCAATGGGAGCCTCGCTTTGGATTCTAATAGAAAATTTGTTTTTGTTTCTGCTGTTAACTTAGTTGGCCGACTTAAACAACAAATTCTTAAAAAATGCAGTTTTATAAAATGATAGTGGGCATTGGGCAAGTCCAAGAATTCGCGCACGCAATGTCTCATACGTAATCAAAGCTTAACCCTCTAAGATATTCATGGATTTTAGTGTTTTTTTATTCTACTGTTGGGCATCTGCAAGGAGAATACCCACAAGAATTATGTTGTTAGTCTCTGCGATGATTATGTAATTAAAGAAAACATGGCGTTACGTATGGGACAAAAAGGGACATTTTCTTGGACTTACCCTGCAGTAGAAGTAGATGCATCTCATTGTACTTATGCTTTTCTCATGTACTGTAAGAACATTTTGTAGATAAATGAAAATGCAAATCATTTTGGAAGAAATAAATATAATGGTTGGCCATCAAGGACACGTTGTCTCAAAGTGTTTTTCATTCATTTTATTATCATTCATTTTTTGAAATGTTGGTGCCCAAAGGACCAAAGTGTTGCAGATATATTTTGCTCAATAGGGCCTCGATGTTGTTTGGTAGCAATGTCCCCTTTTTAAAAACATTTGTGTCCCGACAGCGAATAGCTCTTGTTAAGAAGGCGATAAGAAGTTCGATATGCAAATTAGAACCCCATACTTTTGCTAGGCGTGCATCACTGAATCCAATGCGGCAGCGAACAACACACAACTCGGCCAATGATGTTAGATATGCAAATTATAGCTCCCACTTTTAGGCCGAATATAAAAAAAACATGTTTCTCGTCCGGGATTTTGAAAAAAGGAGGAAGCGGGGCTTTTTATTTTTTATTTTTTATTTTCTTCAAGATGGCCGCCAATTTAAAATTTCCTGCAACCGTTGGTGTTTGCACTGTTCAAAGACACTTTTAAAATGAATGACAAGTTGGACAAGAGAACTGAACATAATTACAGTGTCATTTAGAGTTGTGTTGGTCTACAATGAACAGTTTTTGACCTTTTCGGTGCATTTGACCTTTTCGGTGTTTTTTGACTGCATTTTTCAAAAATAAAAAATAATAAAAAAAATCCAGAAGGCCTCCAAAAAGGAAGCGGGCGGGGACGAGAAACATGTTTTTTTTTTGTACTTCGCCTTAGGACTGAACTAGTAGGCTTAAGTGTCGAGGATTTGTACAACATACTTTGGAGTATATGTGAAGGTAATTTGTAGTTTTCTTCTTATCGAAAAAAACATGGTGTTTTTTTCCAGACCTTGTCTAGCTTATGAATTAACTTTGTAGCTTTCCATATGAAAACATGAATTACCTTTGTAGCTTTCCATATGAAAAAACAAAACACTAAATAAACTTTCCATTTTGACCTTGTGAAAATCATTAACCGGCTTAACTATAGGGCGCCCTCATCTGGGTGCGCGATTGCAACAGATGGGAAATTCCCTTGCGAAAGTTGATTTCGCAGTTGCTGAGATTAGTTTGTTTCCTCAAATTCCTGTTGTCAAATTTGACTTCAAACCCGATAATTCGCGACTGTGCTGCAGATTACTTCGGTAAGTTGTTCTCTTAATGCTCATTCTTATGTTTACCAAAGGAAATTTGATTTTGTTTATGGAATTTCATTCCAATTTTCCACTGAAAAATACCAAAATATCGCATTTTCGAAATCATAGTGCCTAGGCCTACATGTCATACATAGTCTGAGAGTAGGCCTATACTATAGTATTAATATTAGTACAAAACAGTACAACACAAGAGATTATGACTCAGTTGGACTATGCCTATTACTGTGTGACTACATCATTCATATTAAAAAAAAAATAAATAAAGCACCGAAAATATCTCCATAATAAGTCCCACTAACTGGGGTGCTAGAACTCCTTTTTTGACATGTTGGGATGTTAGCCTGTCCCGACAAGCTAACATCCCAACATGTCATAGGACTAATATCGTAAATGTCAACAACAAAAAAGAGTTCTAGCGCCCCGGTCAGTGGGATCTTGCGTTACTTTTATCTTAGAAGTTAGATTATCTATCGCATATATTCTGACGTTTGATTTTGTTATTGCAGATTTGCAGGATTTATAATTTTGGAGAAATAAATATATATTTATATATTTTTGTGAGGTGCAACTACAACCCTCAGAGTTATTTGAATTATTATTAATGTAGGGTCAAAATACACATCCTTTTGATAATAATAACTTGGGTGTCTGCAGCTGCAGTGGTGGCATAGCCATGGGGCGGGGGGGGGGCATTGGGGGGGGGGACAGCCCCCCATGAAATCTTGTCGGCCACCCCAGTTGCCCCCCCCCCCCCCTCCCCTGAGATTTTGAGGCCGCGAACTTACGTGCAAAGTGTTGTGTTAATTATATTTTAAAAAGCGTTTTGTTCTAAATTTTGTAAATTGGTTTCTTTAGCAAATACACTCCCAGAAATGTTTTTAAGTATTTCACCCCCCCCTGCCCGAGTACGCTTTATTTGTGACGTAAGGGGCCATTCAGAATTTTCAATGTTTTAAAATTTCGATCTTTTTTTCCAAATGTGGGTGGGTGGGTCAAGCTAAATAATTGAAAATCGAAATTCACTTTCCATGGAAAAAAGATTTAAAAAAACAAAGAAAGATATATCTTTTGACTTGCCTGAACTACGCGCAAGCGTTCCGATATCGCGATGCGTGTTTCTTTTCCAACTTCGTCCCCTGTATGTACTGTCAGTGGCGTAGCCAGGAATTTTTCAGTCGGGGGGGGGGGGGCTGGGGGGCTGGAACATTTCATGGGGGGGAGGGGGCGTCATGTAGATCAATGATATTTTTTTTAGAAACTCAAAATCTCACTGGCGGAGGCGAATGGGGGGGGGGGGGCGACAAGGTTTCATGGGGGGGGGGGCGCTGTCGCCCCCACGCCCCCCCCCGTGGCTACGCCACTGCAGGTCATACAGTTAAAGTTTATGTGAACTTGTGTGAAAAGTCACAGAAAAGTGACTTTTTATGTTCGTCTGTCGGTCTTGTATGCTGTTATGTTTACTTTTATGTACTTTCAATGGTACTATGTTTAATTAACCTGTTCATTTGGTTAATTAAACTAATAACGCACATATAGTTGCCACATATGGCACTAACAAGTTTGAGGTCGGCAATTTCGTCTTTAACAATCTGGGTACGTCGGGTTACCGTACACACAGTTGTCCTGGAAACAACAGTCCCAAAGTACAGAAAGTCGTACGCAAGAGCTCCCCAGCAAGTATCGCTGACGCCATTATGATTCCAAAATTTCTCACTGTGTCACACAGTGAAATAACTAAACAGCGTCGTTGTATTGTGAACACATAAAAGCATTCAAGTCGCGTTCTTGCACACTTTCTTCATGTCGACATAGATATCCTTGAACCACTGCCCCCGCTTTGCATAACAAGTGCACATGAACGAACGATTCGACTTTTATTCAAAGAAATTTCTATGTACAGTCACCAGACTCTATTCAGTAAAGTCCCCGTCAAAACGAAAGTAAACAATCCACGTGCATAACGCACGGCTACACCATCGTACAGTGTGGCAGAGACACCAACAAGTAACACAACAACTATTTTTTTTTTTTTAATTGATAAATATTCTGATTGAATTTCGTTAAAAGATACTTGTTGGTGAGGTATCAAATATTCTAGCAAATTGATAAAAATGTACAATATTACAATATGCAATTTTGAGGGAAATGGGCAAAATACTGCATAAATAATTTCACTTGATAATATTCACAATACACAAACCGACAATTTTCATTTTCAGACCCACAACGAGAAATATTGTTAACACTGGGCTTATTGTGAGGAGTTGTGCTGGGAATCCATGAAGATGTTATTTTCAACATAATTTCTAAACAATTTAATGGGACATTCCGTGACATGAGCCTTCCAGATGAAAAGTTTGTAAGTGCACACCAATACATAAATTCCCATAGGCACCAAAGATAAATACCCCAATTTAAACAAATCGGGGAACATACTCTGAACCCTCACAGGTGATCAAAACATACATCAAATGAAAGCTGAATTAATCCTCTTCACCTTTTGGAAATCTTTTTTTTTGGGGGGGGGGGGCTTGACTTATGACTTTTAGGTGATTTTTCCCTCCAACGATGATCACCCATCGCCATTTTGAAAAAAAAACAACAAAAAAAACCCAGATTCCTTCCACTCCATATCAATATAGATTCCATTCAAATGTTTTGTTCAGAAATCCAAATTCAGGAACATGGACCCTTCACTTCTACAAATACAGACCCTCAAGTGCAGGGGGCAACATTCTTTATTATTACAGATAAACTAGTATACAAATCGTAATTTGGCCGGATTAGGTCGCGCCTATTTGGGCTGCATCTCATATGTACTGCGATCGGGAAATCTCCGGCGTAATAAAGACTTGAAGAAACTTTATTTGATTTATTTGATTCAATTATTTTATTTTAAATCTTAAAACATAAAATAAAAGCTAAAGGTTGGACAGGCTGCCACGGATATGTAAAAGTAAAAAAAAAAACAATTGTCATCAGACATTTATCCAAACCCCTGCCAATAAAACAGATTTAAAATTCCATTTATAAAAATTAAAGTACTATTGAAAAGTAAATTGTACAAATCATACGAGACGAGACATGACAAGACATAACGAGACGACACAAGATGGGGAGATGAGACAAGACTCTGCAAAAAAATCATAGAGTGAAACATTGGACAAGCCAGACAGATACAAAAATATAAAAACGAACTAATAAATAAATACTCTTACACCCCAACAAACAACAAACAAACACAACAAACAACCAGACTCAATAACGGGAATGAATGACAAACGGGCTAAAAATTTATTACAAACAAAACATAACAAAACCGAAAAACAAAAGCAATCCCATTCCCCAGAGAGAAAAATGCAAACCATAAAAACAAATAACCTAGTTGACATACATAGGTCTACACTCACATTAAATACACACACTAAAGAAACAACAAGAAAATACCCGGGAAAAAAATGAAATAAGACACAATTTTACATTGACGATAAAATAAATATGACTGCAACAATTCCTCCCTCAGTTTTGAAAGAAAAGATTCACAACCTTCCATAGTTAAAACTTTTTCTAATTCTAACACGGTGACTTCGGAGAACATCAATGAGGCAATTGAACAGTTCTCTTATCTTGTAATCCATGTGTCTATCAGTTCTAAGTTTCAAGTGCTGAAACGTTAAAGGCTGTGCGACGGAGCTGCCCTGCAATTCATTCCTGAAATTATTGTTGCATTCCCTATTAGTTCATTAACTTTATATTAGAATCAACATTATTATCGATGATAACGAATTTGGCGGGAAACAGAGCTTTCACACAGTGACTTTACTGGTTTATTTAACTTCGTGGGGATTCCTCCAACGTCAGGCTTTTCCTTGGTTTCAACACCG